CTTAAAGATTACGTGCATTCCCCCATCTTCTGGTATAGCAATTTCCTGAAAATACGATGCTATATGACTGTTGTGTAATAATATTCAGCCATGATGTATCGGATAAGGCCTACTGTACTAAAATCGCACTATTGAACATAGAAAATCCCATATAAAATCATTCCATCGATCCTTGATCGACAGGTACATAACATCATAACACTCATAAAAAATAATAGCATATAAAATATCCTGAGTTATACATTTACAACTCAGGGTTACTAGATATTCCAATAGAAGATCCCATTTCGAATAATAGATTGGCTACACTGATAAGGCTCATCAGTCATTAGTAAATACAGCCACTAATACCAAGTGAACACAAACTAGCCCATAATTTTACCCACGCTTTAAATAACTATAAATAATCCCTTTTCTTTCAGAGATGAAAAAGGGATTCACTTTTAATAATAATAAAAAAGCATACAAGCAATATTAATCTTATTCTTCCTGTTTTTTTATCTTTCATTTTTCCGTGTCAAACAAACCGTTTTTCCACACCTAGGTTACAAACGATATCTTTGAAGCGACACACAACATCCTTATGTTGACCAGGGCGACGTAAGACCACCTTTGGCATGAGCCTGTCGTAATCTACCACGCCATGTAATTCAGCCACATCAATTAAGACAAGAAAATCATTCACGCCATCGAATGTCGTCTCAAAAAAGAAGGTGTTGGAACCGACATAAAGTAGACTTGTTAAATTGTTGTAGTGGCTCTAAAGGTTCAAAAAAAATTGTCTGTACAACTAAATAATGACGATAAACAGCCAATCTCACTTTAGGTGGGATGCAGGAAACAAAACATAGTTATTGCCTCTTCTGGGCTCGTTGATATGATCTTTGAAAAAGAGGAGATATACACAATATCATCAAACCAGGTCCGACAGCGCCATTGACTACACCATTACTTGTGTTGACAAGCTCGTGGAAACTGGAATATGTTCTGAGGTAGTACCGTTGTAAAGCAGAGATAAGTTGTCTATCTGATACACTAGATAGAATTCGAATTTTAGGTCACAAAACCAAATAAAACTGGCGTAAGCCCAATATTTATTTTTTACATTTTCTTCCTTTCTTTCTTCTTAAACTCACTTAAGAAAAATACTAAGAATATATGTTAACTTTATTTCCCAATGTAATATGTGTGTCTATTAACGATTATGATGATTGATGGCTAACACGTAAATGAAAAGGTGCTGACAAAGAATTTCCAAAATTAATGCATCTACGTGACAAGATCATGACAATCAGCCAACATATTGGAAAGAAGATCACCAATAGACACTAGTTTTACACTGGCGTTGGGGACCTTGATCAATTTCGTGCTAGTCTTATATCGCTTTTCGTCACAGTCGTTACATTGCTCTTCTTCATCATCCAATCCATAGAATCTACAGCCGATGGGACAGACATCATATTCGTGGCCATAAACACTGAATTTAGCTTTGACTAAATCATTAACAACCTCACCATAGCTAATTTTGGCTCCGGGTTCTGAATGAATTACCAATGTGATTTTAGAAACTTTAATGTATCAAGGCCATACGTTTGTTTTTATTACCCATCATTATTTCATCGTGGTCCCGAATAACCGTATTATCAAATCTTACAATGTCCCTTTAAGCAGTTCTGGATATCTTGTGTTGCAGCATCAATTGTTAAAGATGAATACTCATTAATTCAGCTTTTGTGAATGTGTTGGAGCCGATTCTACTGGCTTGATAAACGTGAACCCCGCATTCATTTTTTTCAAAGGTGCATCCGCAATTATAATTGATTTGGTCATCGACATTCATGCCAACGGTGTGATAATATCATATATAAAGTAGTTATTTATAGGAGAAAGTAATAAATGAGACTCTTTGTTCCTTTATTATAAATTGGAGAGTGTGTCATGAATAAAATTAGAGGTCTTTTTATATACGAATTATAACTTGAATTACTTTCTCTGCTCAGTTCTAATTAAGGTTTGCCACGAGGTGGTGATACCTTTATTTGAAGTACAAATCAATGACAACATAAAGTAGAGTTTATTACTTATGTAATGTATTCTCTCTTTTGTATGTGTGGTATTTGACAAAATATTACATAAAAAAGTAATGAGATAAAAGTATATTTTTATTAGGGGTAAAAATAGACTTCAAAGAACTCTGCTGCTATGAAATAATTGATCCTTTTTATATTGCACAACTCTCCTGAGTTTTAATGATGAGTCAACATTTCTGGTTTTGGAATAGATCTATACTTTGTTTCCCGCCTTGGGTTAAATGGATACTACTCGTTAGAATTGTTTCCAGATAACGTTGTCCCATATCAGTGGATCGGGAGCATGAGTATTCTAATAAATCTTTAGTATTACGAGACACTTATTTATCAGATCATGCAACGGTTACTGTAAAAGATGCATACTTGTTTGTCAAGTGTAATTGGCAATAGAACATAATAGTTGATCATTTATTCATTATCTTTGTAATGAATAAATTACGATCCCAAATATAAAATGTCTTATCGATATTTGTATATTTGGTTGTAGAAGCAAGGTATCCATTAATTCATACACTATTTCTTTATACTCTTTATCGGCAGTATAACTATATCAATATATAAGTAAATGAACCATTTATATTAATAGCTGTTCTATTCTCTCTCTGGGTAGCTAATCCATTGAGAGAACTATTAATATTAAGTTTCTCTTTCTTATAATTCTTGATTGATCTGAGAAGTTTCTCTTCTCGATCGGTGATATCGTAACTCAGTGGTATAGCATTCTGTATCCAACTGTCATTCGTATATCGTATTTAGGCCAATCATGCAATCTTTTATATAGAAGTATGTACTCGAAGTAGGAGAAGTTGTATAGCAGTATACAAGCGTATGCTGATATTCAACATCAAAGGTTGTTTTAATTTCATAGTTTATTTATTTAGACGATTTGCTTAATTATTCTTTAAGTGGATCGTACCCAAATACGACAGTATGTTTGGAGTCTTCATATAAATATAATCATTCATAGTTCCTTCACTTAAAGTTAATGCTTTAGATTTTTTGATCCAACTATATATGTTATAAGACTCCAGAGTTACATGACAACCTGTATTTAATGTAAGATATAATTGTAGAGTAAATGTTGTGTGATGCTAGCATTATACTTTTAAACACTAGGAGGAATACTCACTAGAGTCCTTGTTATAACATTGTATATGTTATAACGAAGAGGCAAGGTGAATTGTAATTATATTCGGTTAAATAGGAGTAAATACGACAAGGGTAGCAGTAAAAGGTTCTTTAGCGGTTTATTACATCAATATCATCAAGAAAGTATAACAATGTAGAATCAACAAGATCTCGATAGTTCAGACTCTATCAATGACGCTCTCGAATATATGGGTCGCGGTGAGTCCCCCATAATAGCAGGCGTGCTGTAAGTTTTTTTTATTGTTTTTCATGCAAGATATATGTATACTCACATGCGATAATTTTTTTATTTATACGATTCTCGTCCACCAGAGGTAGCGGATAAAAGTTCACGTAAAAGAACCAGAAGAAGATAGTAGTCGTGTCTGGTCGACATGGTTGGTTCATTACGGTTGTTAGCTCCTTTATTAGTATGTATTTTGGCGTTCTTTTTGCTTACAATTTTTTCTCTCTTTCTTTTACTTTTATTTATCTTTTAAAATAAATAGCCTTAAAATAACGATGGTAAAGGTATGTAGACCCTTCAAAATAACGGAAAGTGTGAACAAATATGTTGGAATCGGGTATGTTTGCAATGATTGAAGTAATGACATGTAATCTATATAATAAACTAAAGGGGGGTTTTTTTTTTAAGATAAAAATATGATAATTTGATCAAACTAAAGTACGTCTGTATAGTATAACTATTTTATATAGATAGTGGTCCTCATCAATAGACGGTCCTATCTTTACGGGTAAATAGCCTTTAAACAGTTATATGTGATTTTTATTGATAACATACTGCTTACATAGAGACTATTTCTTCTTCGTAACTTTTACTCAAACGGCTACATATTAGAAACACTGTCGGTCAAATAATCATCGAAATCAGAACTTAAGGCTGGTAATAAAATGCAGAATTAATTACAATATTACTTTTTTCTAACAATACCTTTATAGAGTATTAAGAGTCAAAGGTAAGCTAAAGTAACATCCAAGCATCATAATGGTATATCTTATCGCCATGTATACAAACACAAGCCTAAATAAAAAGGTTCAAGTAACATCAAACTCTCCTTTACACCACTGAAATATAAATAAAAAAGCCAATAAAATGTGCTTTACTGTCAATAATAACAATGAATAAGAAAATGTGAGCTTGCCAGATATAAAAAAAATGGGTCTAAAGAAAAAGGTTAAGGGTTTGTCCGTTTAAAAAAAATGGCAACTTTGAACAGAGTTTCTTACAACAAACAACAAACCCGCCATAGTGTATTAACAGTGTAAAAAGAAAGGGATTAACATTTTTATCTTGCATATTTACATGTGTGGCTTTAAATCACCGCCTATATCCTCTTTCAAATTTAAAAGAATTTCCGAGAGAGTATGCAAATTTTTATGATAAATTAAGGCAAACATCTATCATCTTCTGCTGTCTTTGGTTTTTTAAGGTAATTTAATGATGATACTTCATTGACGTACCCGATTACAAAGAAAAGCTGATGCTGAAATATTGACATGTATATGTCCAACTCTGATAAACACACCCATTCGATTTTCTTTTCCAATAATAACAAAAACAAAATAGCGTCCCTTTTTTAATTGATTAAATACAAAAGTAGATTGCGTGATTGTGTGGCTTGTGAAAACCCATGTAAAAAAAGAAAAAAAGAAAAAAGAAAAACTCCCACACCTTCTTCTTCTTTTCAATTTTTTTACTCTGTTGAAAGGCACATTACTATATTGTCTGTCAAGAATTTACTGGCGCCAAAGTTCCCACTTATGTTACACCCTGTGGGTTTTCTTACTCGGTGTTCGCCAATAAAGGACATACATTTACTTGTCCGCCACCAATCGCGTCTTTTGCCGCACAAGGCACCACTTGGCTTTGAAAAGTGGTGTGGATTTAATTGCAGCCATTTACGGTGTATTCACAGCTTTTTAAACAAGTCAAAGGCCGACGGCGACACTCAAGGTAAAAACATTGATCCCTATTCTTCTATCCACGCTACTAATATAAAAGGTTTTCAGATCTTCTGAGTTAGGTTGCCCGAACCAAAGAAGGGACGCCCTCAGAATAATAGAAGAATCATTAAGCGAAGAGCCCAGTCGTATTAGTAAGTAGTAAATTAACTGTGTATTTGGGTAGTTCAGTAATCATGATTTTTTTTAGACAACAACGCTGGGCTCGTTCAGCTCATTAACGCGGTTTATTTGTCCAAGGACCCAGTAAACCCAGAGGTTTACGAAACTCGTAACATATCAATGAATGACGTTCTGGCATTTGTGTGGAGACATTCCTTTCTATTACAAGACACTAATTCCATCGGCTTTGGGAAGTGGTGTGGCACCAGGGACATAGATTTTATTAAAGCCAAAACTAGACGAACCAGGGATGGCGAAGGTGCCAATGTCTCGGTGAGACAACTGTTCGTACTTAAGGATGTTTACGTCGGTAAGATATGCAAGTTGCATATTTTTGCATCTATCTAATCATGAAATATAGGAAATGTTGTGTCATTCATTATAAACCAGCTTGATGCACATAAGCAGACCATTAGGTCATTAAAGGAGGAAGGTTGCACAGTTGTCGGGTACGCCCGCAAATCCAAGACAAGAGAAGATGACGATGTAAGATTTAGATTGTTGGAACAAATGTGTTCCGAACTTCGATATAGGTCTGAGGTTGATAAAGTTTTTGTGTCCTGCAAATCAAATGCATCAGATCCAATTGTTAACCGGGATGTACAAGACCAAGGGCAAATGTTGAATAATTTAAATGCAGATGGCAACACACAGGGTAAAAATATTGATCCGTACTCTTCTATCCACGCTACTAATATAAAAGGTTTTCAGATCTTTTAAATCTCATTGCCAGAACCAAAGTGTGTTTAGTCATGCTCACCTTTGGAGGGTTCTCGACGAATACCCGGGATTTTGCACGTTTCTTAAGGTAATTAAGGAGAATATACAATAACAAAAGTAACTAACTAAAAGACCTAATAGCAATAATCCAAATGTTCGAATGATAATTGTTGACAATCTCCCTCAAGAGAACAGTGTGGTGGTCCTGTCTCGTGAGGAATTATTAAACAATCCTTCCAAATTAGGTTTATTTAAATGGCGTACAAATTTACAACGTCGTTTACTTTTCTTTATCTTTTTAAAGGATATTCCGAAACTTTGCTGCTGGACTTTTTTTGATATTTGATGAACAACAACAACGGCTGCGCCTACGGATCACGCATGAATTTTCTCGATTTCCCCGGCTATGTCAAACTCTGGCCAATGATATTTTATGTAATCGCACCAGCAAACTCGAAGCCTTTGTATGGCCACATATTCTTACCGCGCCTACCCCTTCGCTACCATCCGAAAGTTGGTATTCTCACGATTTGGTGTCCCAGATGCGACTTCAACAGCTATGGACCCAATTTCAGCCTAACTCTTTCCGAAGGTACTATCAGCAGCAATGCTCAACAACTCACAACTTCCCAATCCGGAATATCAAACAATTCTGGCGATGCCGTATGTTCCCACAGGCGCGCACTGTATACTATCGAGTTTTCTCTAGGTGTATACCCACAAAACAATTGATGTTTAAACATTTCGGTAACGTTTCCTCTCCGCAATGTTCTTTCTGTGGTACGGCTGAGGACTCAACCACTCATTTCTTGGTGGAGTGTCCAATCAAGCGACAGCTTTGGCACCGAGTCATGTCCCACTACTTCCCGTATCTTGAATTTACGCCAACAATGTTGTATGAGTCATTATGCTCCCTAAAACATCCGTTGTCTATGCAAAACAATGAGTGGTATCTCGCTATAGTCTCTACTACTCTTTGGCAAATATGGAACCTGTACTGGCTTCATGGCACAGACAATCCACGGCCTTATCCCGTCGCCAATCTACCAAAAATTGCGTCAAAAATTATTCAACAAATTAATAAGATTATCCACCCTGTCCCAAACCTAGATTAATTCTCTTGTCTATGTTACATACATCCACGAACATCCGTTTCATCAAGTCCCACCACTCCGCGATGTGTGACTTAAAAATTTTGTATTAAATCATACCCTTAATAAAAATTTATTTACAAAAAAAAAAAAAAAAAAAAAAGGATATTCCGAAGAATAAAATTAAAAATTATTTAAAATATAAATATCATTTGCTAGTTCCATAAAATAACATGTAACTTATGTTGAGTAAATAAAGTCATGTACTTACTTATACACAACCACTTGTACTAACATGACATACTTTCGTATAATTAGAGGAACTAACAAACTGGTTTATTGTCCTACAGCGCCATAGGTGCCAGAGCCCTTGCAAGAACTGGACAGAGACATCAGAGTCAATTAAAGCTTCAGTATGACTACAAAACTATTCAGGTACGAAAGTAAAGAGTTCCAGATGGTCACCGATTGACTAATGAAAACGCTCTTTGTAGATAAAAAAAAAAAGTACAATCAAGATCACATGGTAATTTATTCTTTGCTTTTTGATCGGGGCCGACGCAAACTAATTACAACAATCACCCAATCATCAAGAAGAGCTATTTCGAGTTTTTGTTAAGACACATTTTGTCACAGCACATCTCTGGACAAAGACATCGTTTATTATTCTTCTTCAACATGGAATCATAACAGTACAGAATACACACCTTCAAGCGTTAAAACAACACATAACAACACGTCCTAAAATGACGGGTACACTTGCTAGCAAGAATAAGCATATAATTAGAGCCAAAGTCAGCGACGTCCGATTTTATCTGCTTGATTAAATCCATGAACTGTAGACAAATAAACAGCAAGAATCATTATCATCATTATAAATATGGGGTCAAAGAGAGAGTAGACATAGTATGCTATTATATCTGCCTCAGAATATCAAACTGTTGACACGATACCTGCCATAACTGCGAAATTACATGGGCTACAAGGATTGAATCATCGGAAAAAGGTTCAAGTATTAAGTAAATAGTGGACCATTAAAGACCTATGTCAATCAGGGAAATCCATTTGGGTGATATTGATACAGCGATCAATGGAATGTATTGTATGGGTAAAGAGACCTCTTATTATCCTTCATGAGGGGATAGAATACCAAAATTGAACGGGAATAAAATGAGATCCATATCCATTCCAAGGATGATTTTGGGTCAAGTATTGTAAAGATAAGCGTATCACGGTTCTCGTCATACAAGTCTGGTGGTATCGTATACAGTGTATAGTGGCCTTTCAGGGCTTATAAACAGCAATATCATATTGCACGTAGATATCATTATGGTACTAATATTGTGTAAAGAAAATGCATTATACAAGATAGTTTGAATCGCTCATATTGATCTTATCAAATAATACAAATGACATACATTTAAAATATTTATGCAATATGGTTTAAATAAATAAATAAAAAATGATTTGATGGAAATACACTAGCACTTGATACATATCACAACAATGACGCACACTAAATTAAAATTAATCAGAAGCTTTGTATGCAATGGCGATAATAATACTGACAGCATCTTTAAAACAGCATGCATCAAATTCAGTCAAGTTGAGTGGCGTCATATTACAACACATTGTCACTGTAAATCCCTCGTTGTCAAGCCTTTGATAAAATAAAAAAGGTGCCTTGTAAATATTATTCGTGTATTTGTACTGTGTGTATGACTGCCAAGCTATTCTGATACCCAGTAGTGTAACCACAATTGTAGAATTTATAAATTCAGTTACCAACCTGACTCCGGTTCTTTCGTGGAATATATACCGGCATGGTTTTGCTTGTTCCGGTTCTCCTTTTTGTATGGAATGAACAAGTAATTAGCTTAAGTCCTCAATCGTCTAGCATCCTTTTATTAATAGTATGTTGAGCAAAAAAGCCAATGCACAAATAACAACGAAGGCTTCTATAGTTGTGATTTCCGGACAGTCGGTCCCTTCACCAGACATTTTAAGTGATGTATGAACTAGTCATTCAAGGTCTTCTGTTTTCACTTGAGCTTACTAGCTGCAATTACGTTCTCTTCTTATTTGTGCTTTTTTCGTTTCCACGGTTACGGGATTAAACTGGAAGCATGTGTGGAAAAAAAAAAAAAAAAAAAAAAAAAAAGGGGGGTGACAATTTGGAGATCTTTAAACGACCGCTTCGTTTTCTCTTTTCTTTTCTTTTTTTTTGCGTTTGTACGACCTGTAAATCAAAATGCCACTTCATCTTTTATGGGTGACCCTTTTTTTTGCGAAAAGAACAGAAGACTTATATGGGGCGCGTGTGGCTTTGGCGCTTTTATATTTCTTTTCCTCTGCTTTTTTTTTTCTTTCTTTTCTTTTATTCTATTACTGCAATTTTTTCTTTACAATACAAATTTTATTTTTCAAACAATAAAAAAATATATATACATATATATATACATATATAAATATATTACGGCATAGGCAGAAATGAGGTTTATTATTAGCCATTTGAATCTCTTGGTTATAATCAGTTGGTTTTCACTTCCATTACGACAAGCACAAGACATAGATTCAGTATGGTTTCCGCCAAGTAACTTTACTAATTGTACGAGTGCGCCAGTAGAGTTTCAGGTCTACTCAGTCAATCGATATTTTGACGTGGACAAATCAGTTTATTACCTCAATTTTACATCATCCTCAAATACAGCAGTGACAAGTGTGAACGAACAAGGAACTAGTAAAAATTAAACTTTTTATATTGCTACTATTAATAAGCGTTATTCACTCTCTTCATTTGAATAGCCTATTCTTCTTCAAAAATGGTGTTAAAGTTTGGTTTCAAAACAATGGAACCTGTATCAAGACAATTTTGTATGGACAGTCTAAACGGATGTCCTCTTTCACCACAGACCAATTTTACCATCGAAAGAGTAAACATAAAAGAAAAAAAAAATGTTACGTAGTACTTACATCTATTTATAGTCTTTTAACCTTTCTAATATTCCTGTGTATCCATTGGCCGACATTACAGCTCAGTACTCGGCAATTACTGCAGACAGTCATCTCGTCTGTATTCAATTAGCACCAGTCGGTTATCAACACCCTACCTGGCGAAATATATTCACCTGGCTACCCATTGGTTTTACAGCCTTTGCAGCAATCCTCTCTTTAGTTACATCCTTTAAAGTCTTTCACAGCGACGATGGGGATGCAGCAGCAGGTCATGATATTTTTTTGTTTGGCTCGAATTATGCCATGTTACCCGGTGTCTTACGATTAAAAACACCGGGTTTTTTTGATCTTGTCTTTTACGCTCAATTCATCGTGACCGTAGGTCAGTTCAATATTGAGTATCCAAGATTCCACGCTTTATTCACCTCCAACTTTTCCTGGAGTTTTCTATTGTTCAATCACTCCGAATGGTTGAATCAGATCATTTCGAGCCTATTTCAGGCTTCTGCATCTTCTGCAGACTCGATCTCTTCAGTTCCTGGACAGATCTTGAATAAACGACAAGAAATTTTGAATGTCACAGATGATTCGAACAATGTCGTTGTTGTGGGCACAGGCATGGCCGATTTTGCAATTGCTACAGGCATTGATATCAATGCGCTTTTCTTTACATTGATGGTCTATGTGCTATTAATAATTAGCGTCTGCTTGGCTCTTTGTTTTATTGTATGGACAGCTCTATATATTGCTGGAAAATCAACAGACCGCATCAGTCTTTTGAAAAACGCAAGCAAGATGTGGGACTTTACTCTCGGTAAGTCATCCATCCCATAAGCAGTAAAAAAAAAAAAAAAAAAAAAAAAAAACTAACATTCTTTTTATTTATTTGTAAATCAGGTGTTCTTGTTCGTATATTAAGTCTGGCTTATCTTCCTATACTCACCATGTCGTTTTATCAACTGATGATTCCTTCGCATTGGCATATTACAGTGACAGCTGCACTATTTCTGGTGATACCCTTTCTGTTTTATGGATTTGTTTCAATTAAATTAATGCAGATCCGACCGGCCTCATTTATCTACACCGAACTCAACTTATTATTACGATACGGCACACTCTATAACGCCTTTACCGACGTCACTTTTCATTTTTTTATTTGGATCATTGTGTACAAATCCGTCGTGGCTGCCATGATTGGCTTATTTCAAACAAGTGGACTAGCTCAAATCATTTTGGTGTTACTGGCCGAATTAGCATTGATGGTTGGACTCCTGATAAAATTACCTTTTGCAGACAATCAAGTTAATTTCTTTCATACCGTGATTGGGTTCATTCGAATTGTAGTCCTGTCCTTGAATATCGCCTACCTTCCTAACGTCATGGCAACGGCATCTGTAAAACAATACGTGGGGTATGCACAGATGGCCATCCATTGCTTTGCATTCTTTTTATTGTTGGTGTTACAAATAAAGAACTTGGTGACAATCGCTACTGGGCTTGGCGATGATGAATTGGACGAGACCGGAAAGCCACCTGCACGCATGGCCATGTGGAGAAAAATAAAGCGACCCCCTCATCAGCTTCATGTCACCAGTACAGCTACTCTCATGACAGCCGCCAGTCGCTCACAAAACCCTAGCTTCTACATGACAAACAGCAACCGTAATTCGAATCGTCTCACTGTGGATTCGCAGACCATTGATGCTTTTACGAATTACTATGGTCAAAATAGTAGTGCAACAACATCGCATGCGGTATTGAAACCCGATGAAGTGACGAGACTACAACACTTTGGCATAGAAACAGTGAATGCTACTAATGAGAACATGTTGTTACAGTACCCATCGCTTGTGGCTGAATATATGAATAATTCAACAACAGCATCGTCTTCGTCCGTGCCATTAAAACCCAACGAACCAGCCGCCTTATTAAATAATAGATCCACTAGAGCTTATACATTAGATGATGAAATAGTTCCACCGTCAGAACCTCTGATGGCCGCAATGAACTCTACGCTTAAAAAAGATTTACCACCTCCACCTCCGCTACCCAAACATGTCATTTTGAATAATGATTCGACGTATTCCCCTCCGCATGAACCCTCCCCGACAAGTCTTGTGATACAAGACGATGTATAAAATACAATAAAAAAATAAAAAGAAAAAAACTAATGTAAATATATTTATTATAAATAACAATAATAATAATAAAAAAAAAAAGTCTATGGTCTAATAATGGAAACAGAAAATAATCTGATTTTTGATTCTATACCCACCACTTCTTCATCCAGTTCAAACCTCTTTGGTTGAATCTTCTTGTCCATATTTTCAATGATTGAAATCACAGCAGGAGCTTCCAACATAGGACTTGGTTTCTGAGGAAATATAATTTGTAATCGAGCCGTACTGTAATACTGTTCAGAAGTAACGGATATAGGGGAGCTTTCAGGACTGCTACCTTCTTCTTCATCATCATCATCTGAATCAGGACGTACAAGCTGAAACTTGAGTCCGGATTCAAGCAATGCTAAACCAGGTTGTCGTGGTGATATCAAAAAGATAATTTCCATCAATCGTCCTACGTATTTACACACAGCTACACCGTATTTTCCAATCATCTCTTCTATTGCGTTGAATGCAGGATCGGGAACTTCTCCTCCTTGTCTATATGCAAGAATCAAGGCTAAGATGGCTCTTTCCGAATGAAGTAAGCCTGGAATATTAGCCAATGGTCCACTGGCTAGGGGCAAATGAAAGGCAACAAATGCACGGGTTTCCTTAGGGTAATGTGTTGTTAAATTGGCGAGATGTAATGCAGCCGGAATTAAACGATGTAATTGAAGTGGGTGGTCAGGTACAAGATAAAGTGGAGGGATAGCATCTTTGAGGATCTGAAAGACAGTATCAAATTCAGTGGATGATAAAGCATGAGGTAAGTGTGAGACATAATCCTTCACGCCTTCTAAAAGAGGATCTTTCATCTGTTCTGATAATGGCAACATATGATAGGAAATCCCTTGTCGAGCACCACCTTCACTGAAAAAGATTTGCTTAATCTTGAGGACCTTTAAGATGGCAGAAACAAGAAAACACGTGGCAGGGATCATCTTTGTTCTACGTTTAGAAATACGAAACAATTTCAGCTCGTTCACAAGTTCTTTTGGGTCACGATCTTTAAATTGATCTGCAATGGTTAATAAGTCTTCACCTGACATACTGTAACCACTAATGATTGGTATAGGATATCTCATCTCTCTTGTATTTCGCACCTTGTCTGATAATGAAGCATGATTGGTCAATGCCATGGATAGATATCCCAACGCTCTAAATCCACCACCACTCATATACAATGTGTAGCCATCGTGATCCATTAAATGGCCTGGAATATTCGTTGTTGTTTTCGCTATTGTAATCTGTTCCACAATCTCTTTGAATAGATATCGCTTCTTCTTTTTACTATCTTCGCATTTCGCTAATCGTTTTCTTAAAACGGCTGCTCCGTAAGGAAGTGATACAGGATTGGCTGAAGACTTGAGTCGTTTTTTGGGTCTGGTATCATCTTCTGCCATAAGAACGGGTGAATTAGAAGTAACGTAACTCAATTCACATGAACCTCCACCTAAATCCATCGTTAATCCATTGACTCGATAAAAGGAACCTTAAAAAAAAGAAAAAGAAAATGGATGAGCAAAATCTTTTATAGATGGGTGTGTAATATGGGTTACACAACGTACCGACAATCCCCATAGAAGAAACACTGGCTTCTTGTTCTTTGGATAAGATATCGACAGACCAATGTGTGGCCTTGTAAATTTTTTCCAGGAACTGTTTGGAATTGGAAGCGATACGAGTTGCTTCAGTGGCAATGACTTTGACGTTGGAGGGATCGACACCTTCATGTTGACAAATGGTCTTGAATCGTAAGAAACTCGTAATGACTTGTTCCATGGTTTCTTCGGGTAAAAAGTTATCGTCGCCTAAAGCCTCTAATAATGAAATAGGGGCACGTTCTTCATATGAAACCGGTAAATGCCTTGCCAACGCAGTGACAATACCAAATCGAATACCGTTGGATCCCATATCAACCACACCAAAAGGTGCCTTCATCGTATTAAATGTCATTTTTTTTTCTTGGAGTCTGCAGAAAAAAAAAATATAATTTTTTTTTTTAAAGCTCTAAAGAAAGGGTTTCGAAAAGGAAAGGGGAAACTTTTTTTTTTTTGTCTCTTTTTAAATACAATACAAAATCGACCGAAACCTAAATTTGGATCCATATAACGTGTGGTGGTTGGTCAGAAGATTTGACAGGAGCCCTCTATTTTTTTACTTTTTGCTACTCCCTGTACCCACTGAGAATAAATTTCTTGGCTTTGGGGGGGAAATAAATATTTGGTTTTTGATGCAAATGGCGGGTATAACACAATCACCGAAATTAAAAGGGTCTTGCGTATCCTTACTAACCATATACATCAAAACTCTTTTATAGCTTCTTTTTTTTTTTTTTTTTTTTGCTTATTGAGTATGGCTGAGATAACAACGTGCCACAGCTATGTGTGTCACATACATAAATATAGACTTTTCCGTATGCATGGCCGCTTCATCCCAGCCTCTTCCAGGAACATATTCAATTTATTCATATGAGATTCCTAATATATAAATTTTGTTTACATGCGGTAATAAATATTAATAATGATGGACTTCTTTATAACAAATTACTCGTAGTTACAATAGAGACTTTAAAAATGCGCGTTTTTTCCCCCCGTTGTACCTGTATAGAGTCTGTGCTCATATATCAGGACATGCATGTTGTGTTGACAAGCATGCCTTTTAAAAGCAGTTGTATAACATTCATCTGCAGTATAACCCTTCATTCTCAACTCAAATATGCTAAAATGATACCATACGTGATGAGCCTTTCATTAAAAAAAAAATAGACCTAGGCGTAATTTTTTTTTTTTTTTTTTGCTTTTGGCGTAACTTGTTTGAGTCACAGCGGCAAATTCTTAGAACTGTCCAATTTAGACACTTTTCGATCTCATGTAAATATTCTATTTTGAAATCAAGCGTTCATGTTCATCCTACATCAATTATAACAATATTTATTGACTCTCGAATTTCTCTTGCCTATAATGACCCTGTCATTTTTCGAGATGGTTAGTCTACATCATAATAAAGCAGCATGTTTCACTTTTTATCTGCTAAATCCTCAAAGTGATTGATTCCCATTACTTTTCTTTACTCTTTTGTACATGCGGTGACTTTACATAGTTGCCAAAAGAGAACATCTCTCTGTCAGAGCTTTTACAAAAAAAAAAAGAAAAGGTGCCATTTGTTTAAAGCGAACATGGGACGGTAAAGCATTCATAGCCATGTTGAATAAAAGGTTAAAAGAGGACTTTGAAATAAAATATAGTAGCCGCAGGACAAATCTGAGTGTGTGTGATTTAAGACGTGCTTATTTTCACTACTCCAATATAGTAAGCTGAAACAATTTATCATATCAAACAAGGCTGCTGCTCTCAATATACGTTTATAAACTACCTGTAAGATGTACGAAGAAGCTGACAAAATAGAAAGTACCTGCCAACGTATTGTTGGCAATAATGATAAAGTGGCCTTGACTAAATGTGGTTCTTTACACAGTCTCCAAATACATACAACAAAACCATGCATTATTAATTGGGAAATTGTGTTATTAGACCAAAAACAAGGTCACCATAGTAAAACTCTTCTGGAATTGTGTTAGTTTACAAAGTGTTCTCTTATGTATACTCTTCTGTTATCCGTTGTACTCTTTCCAATCTTCTATTTTACTGTGCTTTACAATCATTGATTGAAATTAAAAGTATACAGGAAAACTTGCAAATTAAAGACACTATATGTTGGATTGACACATAATTAAATTGTCAATGTAACAGACAAGACTTCATCATTAACGATCATATAAATGAGTGTATATAATATACAATCAAAGTCCATTTTACGTTATAAACTAAGTTCTTGTTTTCAAGTTACATGTGCCTTTTACTGTATTATGGCACTGTGTTTGTGATAACTGCATAAAACGCGTGACCTACACTTACTTCTAGAATCATGTGGACTAAAAAAAGACGTTGTTACACCGCTATTGTTGTACCGATGCCATTTATCACTTGTCATATAAAGATGACAGGTTTCACAGACCCACGGGCCTCCCTTTTTAAAAGTCCTTAAACGATGAATGTGCTCTTACAGCTATCGAAACAGTAATTATTCAATACATTCTTTTCGATAACTGATCAACTTGGAGTGATTCACTTTTTAAATATATTATATGGCAGTGGTTTATTGAACGACATATTTTGCGTTTAGTAAAGATGGTATAATTTTCTCGTTGTTGGTTGCTTTTACAAGCGAAAGATGATGCTTGGTTATATAATTCTTGATTTGGCATTTCTTTGGCTTGATTGTCACTTTATCACTAAGATCTAGCCAAAGATAATCGACATACGATAGAACGAAAAAATCGATTTGACAGGCTTTTTTTTTTATATATAAGAGCTAAGTTTAGTAGATGTATTTCTAGAAAATATTCGTCCTACTTACAGTCAAAGGACCAACTGTCATCATCTACCCTGACACATCCATTATGATGCTGATTTCCTCCTAAATCCAGGCCATCTAATTGAGGAATATAAAACGTTTGGCCATATGGCAAGTCATTGGCGGCTATACTGACAAAAGGGACTAAATTTTGCGATCCTGATCCCAAGCCAAAGACATTATGTTCACGACCTCGTCTTCCCACTTTAATGAATGAGTCCGTTGTGCTATCGATATTGATCAGATCACCATTTTCTAAAAGACACTAGTTTACTTTTATCACTTAGAATAACGCCTTATTTAACATATTGTTTTATGTATTACCGTTCCCTCCATGCGACACTTTTCATACATGTCCACAGGCACCAATCCTACTTCCACATTATCTTTATCCATCAACCTTCTTTTGATATCCCCTCCTAAAAACACTCGTTTCCCACCATTGGTTTCATCCCATTCGTTCTCTTTAGGAATCCAATACTGTGAAAATGGAACTTTTTTGTTCCCCCTGTAGCATGAACGCAGATGAATCTCTTGTTCGTCTGGTATTTCCTTTACAGTGACAACTACGTTGGGTTTTGATCCGTGGGTTATCACTGTGCTTGTGTATCCAGCAGTATGTATAGGAATGTTGATATGTGGGACGGTTGGCGTTACAATGGGTTGATGAGCTACAGGTGGTTTATTCCCTTCTGCTGGATTAGGGTGAGCTACTGGTGGTGGTCTATTTACTGCTGGTGGGTGATTGACGACTGGTATATTATTATTAGGGAGGGGTTTATTTGGCATGGGTGGATTATTGGCATTTATGACTGGAGGGGTTTTAGCTACAGGTTTAGGTGGATTGTTGGGTGATGGGCGTAACTGAGCAGCATGGATCTGATCCGTGCCATTATGAATATTTTCATGTGCAATTGAAGAATAGCTAGCATTCTCGGAGGATATATCAATCAAATCTGGCATATAACTAACGCTTATGGGTTCCGATAGCGATGGTATACTGTAAACGTTATCAATGTTAATTGTAGGCATGGAGACAGTATCGCTATTGATTTCAGAGCTAAATGTAAAAGGTGCAAATGAAGGCAAAGGTAGAATACTATCTATGGAACGAAAGGGCATCAATACGAATGAGTCTAGTGAGGCATGATGGTGACTCAAAGTTTGTTGCGTAACACTTGTGATGGTGACGGATTGGGCTTTCCATATTAATGCACATAAACATGCCAAGTGATACAATATGTGAGGCATATGTAACATTGGTTGATGAAAGGGAGTAAAGAAAAAAAAGAGAGAGAGAGAGAGTACTATTTAAAAGTAGTGTTGTATATATATGCTAGACATTCCTTGTGTAGTTATGGTAGTTGGGTGGTGGGGTAATCGGGACTTTAATTTAACGAAACGTCGCTAAACCAGCATTTGTCTAAGTTTGTGACAGTGGACTGATGTAAAGGAAAAATGGGGCATCAAAAGGGGCTTTTTTTTCCCTTTTTTCTCATCCATCCATCCATCCAGATAATACATTAAGAAAAAATGGCTGATCTCGAAGACCTCAACAAACCCTTTGGTAAAAAATCTAGCATAAAATTGGATACGTTTCGATACGAGTTGGAAATGAAGACTAAAAAAAAAAAAATAACACAATCTAGATCCTTTTGCTGATGTCGAAGAAGAGCAAGGCGTCAACAACACCAACTACCTCCGTGAGTAGCGAAAAGAGCAAAAAAAAAAAGAGAGAGAGAAAAGCGAAAGAAAAAAAAATACTCATTTATATAAATTCAATTCCCATCCGATAAAATAGATCTCCGTATTCAACAACGTAACGGTCGTAAAACCTTGACTACTCTTCAAGGTTTGCCCAAGGAGATTGATAGTAAGCGTTTATTAAAGGCTGTCAAGAAGGCCTTTGCCTGTAACGGTACAGTCGTTGAAGATGAAGAGCACGGTGAAATTATTCAAATGCAAGGTGATCAACGTATGAAGATGGCCGAATTTTTGATTTCCGAAGGTATTGCCAAGAAGGCTGAAATCAAGGTTCACGGTTTCTAAGCAAACTTAAACACCAACCAAAAACAACAAATCTATAATACCTCTGTCCCCCTTGTCTTTTTTTTTTTTTACACACATAAACTATTAAAAGCATTTACAAAATCTACTTCTATTTTCCTGTTTCCCATCCTGTTAAATAAACTTCAAAACCTTTTTCTTTTTTCAAGTTCAGTTCTAAACCCCTTCTTTTTCTTTGTTTTCTTTGTTTTTTTTTTGTTTTTTTTTCTTCTCCTTCTCCCTTACTTCTTCTCTCATTAAACATGTCGTCAGACACTCAAGATCAAACAGCTAATATGGCTGACCTTCATATCAAAGACGAGACTTCTTGCGATATTTTAACACCTCCTTTATCTACTGTATGTAACTGATAAATCCTTGTACCCAAAAAAAATTTTTTTGACAGTTTTTTTTTTTTTTTTTTATGTAGATGTCCACCTCTCAATCGCCTACTATTAGTGACCAAGATATTGAAAGTATTGAAGTAAAGCAGGCTCTTGTTGACTCTGGTCTCAGTGAAGCTATTGTTGAAGAAGAAGTTGCCTTGGCAAAGACCACACAGTTGGAACAAGAGAAACGTTTAAGTGACGAGGTAAAAAAAAAAAAAAAAAAAAAAAAAGGAACAATGTTTTCTTATCTACTCACATTTGTGTAGGCCCAAGCTCAATTCGATACAACCGTCAAGGCTCAACGTATGAAGCGTTTGAACTTCTTGCTTGAAAAGTCAGGCGCATATGCAACCATCCTAGGCAGCAAGTTGGCTAAGCAACAAGAACAAGCTCGTGAAAAAGCTGCGCATATGGATGCCGTCGCTGCTGCTGCTGCTGCTGCTGCTGCCAATAATAATCAACCATCTGCAGAGGAAGAAGCACCAGGAAAATCACGCAAAACGCGTGCTGCTACCAACTCCAAGAGAAAGGTAACCGATGCTGATTATCAACTTACAGACTATATTGAAGAAGACGATGTCAAGAGACGTAAGCAAACAGATGGTAGTGTCAGTAAAGCCATTATTGAAGAACAATCAGCCGCCTTGAAAAGAAAGAAGGAAGATCCCGTCACCAAACCATCCATTTCAGCTCGTCAGCCCAGTCTTGTCACTGGTGGCATCTTGCGTGATTATCAATTAGCTGGTGTTGAATGGTTAGTCAGTCTGTGGGAAAATGGTTTGAATGGTATTCTGGCCGATGAGATGGGTTTAGGTAAAACCTTACAAACGATCGGTTTCATCGCTCACTTAAAATCAAAGAACGTCGCTGGTCCTTATCTGATCGTCACTCCCTTATCTACCTTGGCAAATTGGGTAAACGAATTTAAACGTTTTGCTCCTGCCATCAATGTCTTGCTTTATCATGGTACCAAAGAAGAACGTCAACATATGATTAATCGCAAGATGCAAAAGAAGAAGGAAACTGAAATGGAATTCCCCGTCATCGTCACTAGTTATGAAATTGTCATGAATGACCGTAAGTTCTTACAACGTTACAACTGGAAATACATTGTTGTGGATGAAGGTCATCGTCTCAAGAACATGAACTGTCGATTAATCAAGGAATTAAAGACGTATTCCAGTGCTAATCGTCTTTTATTGACCGGTACACCACTTCAAAACAACCTTGCTGAATTATGGAGTCTTTTGAATTTCCTGTTGCCCGATATCTTTGATGATTTGGACATGTTCCAATCTTGGTTTGATTTTTCCGATATCAACGTCAAGAGTGGTAGAGATCGTATCATGAGAGAAGAGGAAGAAGATAACATCGTCACCAGTCTTCATACCATCCTTCGTCCCTTCTTGTTAAGAAGATTAAAAACCGATGTCGAACGCTCTTTACCTAAAAAGAAGGAATACTTGTTGTATGCTCCTCTTACTCAACCTCAAAAGAATCTGTACGATGCCATCATCAAACGCGATCTTCGTGATTATCTCATCAAGAGAAAGATTACAAAGCCCGATGAAGACGTCTCTGTCGCACAAGAAGAGGAACAGGAGGAGGAAGGCAGAGCCAAGAAAGCCATCAGTTACAAGGAAAAATCAGACCGTGAATATTTCAAGGAATTAGATCAAGAGCCTGTTACAGAAGTAGTAGACCATGTTGCTGTGACGAAACAAGCCAAGATGGCAGAAGCTGTAAAGCAAGTAAACGGTATGCATCTTCAAAACTTGGTGATGCAATTACGTAAAGTGTGTAACCATCCTTTCCTCTTTGACTGGCCTGCAGATCCTGCTACTGGACAACCTGTTTTAAACAATGATTTGGCTGCTCAATCTGGTAAAGTTTTATTGCTTGATAGACTCTTGACTGCCTTATTTGCTCGTGGACATAAAGTATTGGTATTCTCACAAATGACCAAGATGTTGGATATCTTGGAGGATTGGGCTGTCGGATTAAAGCATTGGCCCGTTTGTCGTTTAGATGGTGGTGTCTCACAAGAGGAGCGTCGTAGACAAATTGAAGAATATAGTGATCCCAAGTGCGATACCAAACTCTTTTTGTTATCCACTCGTGCGGGTGGTCTTGGTATTAATTTGACAGCAGCTGATACCGTCATTATCTTTGACAGTGATTGGAACCCTCAAATGGATCTTCAAGCCCAAGATCGTGTTCATCGTATTGGACAAACCAAGCCTGTGCTTATCTATCGATTTGTGGCTGCAAAGACTGTGGAAGCAAAGATTCTGGAAAAGGCCACTGGTAAACGTAGATTAGAGAAATTGGTCATTAGTAAAGGTAAATTTAAATCACCCGCTGCTGCTGCCAATGCCAAAAAGAATCAAGAGAATTCTGTGCGTGAGATGGCCGAGATTCTGGCTTCAGAAGATGGTGAGCAGGTTCAGATCGTATCTCAAGGCGACAAGGTCATTTCGGATGAAGATCTCGAAAAGTTATTAGATCGTAGTCCTGCTGTATTCGAATCCAAGTGTACGAGTAGTAATGATCAATTCAGAGAGATGGATGCTTCTGAAATGCAAGACTCTAAGAATGAAATCTTGGCCACTCGTTCTTGATAAACCAATTCACACTCTCGCACACACACACTCACTCTATCATTATTTTTCTCATTTCTTTCCCCTTTTAAAACCAAATTACACGCATACCGCATAATTCATTTTCGCTTTACTATTATAGTCTCTCTTTTTTTTTTTTTTTTTAGAATATTCGCTTCAATAAATTAGTTTTATATTCAATGTTTAATAATCGATACATGGAGTGTATAATCAAATATGGACAGGTTGAAAATACGGATTGATTGTGTCAATCTCGTAGATGCGCTGTAGCTATTTTGACAACTCTATGTGGGTCCATAAATAGATAGGAACAATGGGCATTTTTTTTTTTTTTTACCTTTTGATATTTACAATAGTAATTTTTGATTGTCCCAATCGACTTGTAATCTTTTGTTTTAATAGATACAAACAAAAGATCGTATCGTCATGTTGTCAATTTATTTTTCTCACACAAAAATAGCAAGGGCTGAAACGTCGCCATGGCGCGTCATACAAGGAAATCCTTCCCAAAACGCGATCTCTACTATAAATATATAAATATAAATATATGCTCGTGGAGGGCAGGTAGGCGCGTGTGTTGACGTGACAGAAGCTGGCGATGAAATGGGTCAATTTTTTGATTATCCGGGACTGCATAAAAGAAAATTTCTATAATAATCGTTCATTATTCTTGATTCTGCCATAATCACGTCGCTATAATAGATCCCTTCTTATTGACATTTCTATGGATATGATGCCATTGAGATATTTATCATTGTAAATAGATAGAATCGAGGAGTCGTGTAATAATATAACCCTGTTCTCGTGTTACCATAACAAAAACGCCAAAGGAAGGGAACGCGTTCATTTCTCGTTGTTTTTGGTTCCAACATAAACAACGCGGTCCAAAAACTCGAGATAATATAAATAAGGTCGATTTTTATTTTAGTTTTTTTTATTTTTTTTATTTCTCTATACTTCTTTTTCTTCGATTCTTTTCTTTTCAATCTATAAGCATATAAAAAAAAACATGAACTCCAACTTTTCAGATATTGATGTGACAATGCCATATGTCATTACTTCCGTTGTCTTGTCATTTTATAAGAATATTATGTCAGACAATTGGACACCTACCCGGTACCATAGTTTCCTAAGTTGTGTAGAGTCGAGCATACTTGCTGCTCAAAATAGAAACCCTTATATCTTACTCAACAGGTAAAGCAAGTCATTTTTTTTTTATATATTTGTATTTGAATGAAAAAAGTTGTCTTTTTTTATATATTTTATTTATATATTAACCTTTCATTCATCTATAGCTTAAGGCTCATTGAAACTTACATGATCAATATGCAAGGAGACAACCTTGCATTATTAGAATCAGAATACTCTATCTTTGTAGCCGCCTTCAGAATCAGTCAAAAGTTCAACGATGACTTTTTCTGTAACCATCTGGAAATTGTAAGATTTTCCTTCATTTAAATGCATATATTTCTTATTGACCTCTGATGTCTATTTAGGACCACAGTTTACTAACTGAAATGAACTATGTTCAATTGAAGCAATTCGAGTTCAAGTTTCTAGAGAAAATCAATTATAAAATTCTTATGCCATTAGAAGAGTATGTCCAATGGAAAGACAAGTGTCAAAGCATTTATGTCACATCCATCACACCCACTATCCTTGACAATGATGTCCATTATTATTTCCAAGAAAATAGCTTTGTTGGTTTACTTAATAGTGATGTCGACTGTACTCTTTATCAGGTTCAAGACAGTATCCCTTCTCCACCTTCGAGTGTGATTTCAAAGAATGACCTTCGCTGTGACAATAATGGACTCTTTGCAGAACACAATATTGTTTTTCAATATGGATTCTAAATGATGTTCTACACATTTGCACTTACACCACACACACACACACTCCCCATTAGTATACATATATATATATCACCCATTCACATCATACTCATTCTATAAAAACTAACCCTTCACATGGTCTATATCCCCCTCCCCTCCCCTCTACCTCCCCTTTACACAATAAAAAAATAAAATCACTGCTAGCATGATTTATTCCATCTCAGCCCTATTTATTTTTTATTTATTTTTTTTGGCTGAAGGTAAAAAAAAAAATGTAATTCGGCACTGTATTTTTTACGTCTTTTTTGTTCTTGTTTCATAGCTTAAAATGATTTCTATATCCACCGAACTTTTTTTCAATGAAGCCGAATTTCGACTCATCATTCCAAATCACCCCAAAGAAACTGAAGAAGATCCTATAGCCATCATCGAGTCTAATCCACGTGAATTCGCATTCTATGGTAGAAAACAAACAATTTTTTTTAAAAAAAAACGTACCTGAAAATGAATGTCTGGGAAGTAAACTCATTTTTTTTTGTTTTCGTTTGAAAAAAAAACAAATAAAAATAGATGAACACCTTCAAGTCTACTTACTTGCGCGTGTGTCGAAACAAATATCAGGTGCCGGTGAAGAAGTGAAGGAAGCCATTCATGCCTTTTACAATCAGTTGGAAGTCACTGTCGATGCTACTTTTCTCGATACCGTCACGCCTAATTTAAACAGGTCGTCTTCAGCAACTACCCAATCCAGTCCAACTTCACCCAAAATTCATCAACGTAGAACCATCAATGATGTGTCCACACCATTCTTTACACAAGCTTATAACCGAAACAATAAGAATGCCGAATTTATCTTGTTTGAACAAGAAGATACCTTTTGCTGCCTCTACCCTATCATTGTCCCTATTGGTAAGTTTTTTTTTTTTATCTCTTTATTATATTGAAAAAAACAAAAGAAAGAGGAATTGATTCTTTTCTTTTCTCACAAGTATATGCGAAGACAAAGACGGCAAATCCAGTTTTATCCATCAATTCAAATATTCAGTACAGACCACTTCCGTTAAAGAGAGCAACCACTCAAGCAGAATTAAACACACAAGATGATTCCGAATACGATACAGATTTATTTGAGACCATTAATTTATTAAGTGGATTATCTGAAGGTATGTCAAAAACCAATGGCATCCATTAAAAGAGAGAGAGAGAGAGACTAACAAAGAAAGGAAACAGATCCAGTATTTTCAGACGGGGAACGACCACTTCAAAGATTTGTAATGGAAAGCAACACCAGACAACCTAGCGGATCCTCTTCCTCTACCACCACCAATATGAATACAACACCTAGCTCACAACTCTCCATGAAACGAAGCGTACGCGAGAATTTAGCTATTCGTTCTGGATTGAACGTCAAAATGCGCACCACCAACGCATCTGTGGCAGAGAAAATGGTCATGATGTCGGTCGAGTTGGAAAATCCTGCTGAAGTGGGTTGTGAATTCTTGGTGGACCGCGTGGAAGTTCAGGTATCCAATGCAGTCGTATCCATGGCATTCAACCAGATTCAATTTCCTATCGAATTAAACAAATCAGATTTGATGGTATTTGTATATGATGTCACATTGTTAGATGATGGATCTGTGAAACCACCTACGCAGACCCCCCGTGTATTCGCATCTCGCAGAGCATTGCCTCAACAGCAGCAGCAACAACCTGTATACAATGATGATAAAATACAGCCTCAACGTGTCTCTATTCAGATATATGGATCTCCCATTATTGATGGTAAGAAGGCGTTGCCTATGCGATCCAAATGGAATACAATGCTGGATGTATCGGGTATCCGACAAAAGAGAGAGGAAGTGCCTTCTCCCTTTATCGACAAATTCCCACCCGCTTCACCCATGGCTCGATCACAATCAGCGCAAGGAAGTATATTTTCACCAGGAGCAAGATCTATTGTGGGAAGTCCCGGAGGTTTAGGCCATCAAATGAGTCCATCTCTGGAAGGCGTGTTTGGAATGAAGAAACAAAATAGTATCAGTAGTACAGTATCCACACCCACAAATAATACAGGTGCAAGACGTGCACCCGAGCGAGAAATTGCGGATGGCATTGTTGTGTCTTTTACAGTACCCGATGCCATTCAGGTTGGAAAGATCTTTTCGCTTCATATATTTATTGTCAATCGATCCAAACACACAAGACGATTTCAAGTGATGATACCTAACCGTAAACGCAATCCTACAGAAGTATTTGGACACACCATGAAGACAACTTTACCTCCTTTACCTATTGAGCAAGTTCCCATCGACCCATACATGGATGAATCAGGTAATAATTAGGCTGTATCATTTTTTTTTATCTAGTACGAATTCTAACTTTGGACCAAAAAAAAAAAAAAAATTAGAGTTTTTAAAGCAATACTTTGAAAATGAAACGCATGAAGCTGATATTATTTGCTTGGAAAATAATGTTCGTCTTAGTCCATTGGGACCTTCGACTTCTCAAAGTGTGGATATTCAATTTATTGCAGTGAAGGAAAAGTTACATACAATCGATCTGGTTCAGTTGGTGGATCAGGATACAGGGTTTGTAACGAATCTTCGTCATGTATTAGAAGTTTATGTCGAGCAGCAATTGAAAAATTAAATAAAAATAATGATTAAAAGGGTTAGCTACATATCATTGTCGTAACTGATATATATTTAAAAAAATTGCTTATGTGTATACAATAATATGAGAGTATCTATAAGCGCACAAAGCACCCAAGGATATTTTACAATATACATAGAATCGAAATGTGGCCAATGTAGTCATAAATGTTGACACTGCCTGTCCCACTCCTTTTTTTTTATATTTTATACAATAAATTATTTCTCATAGTATAAACACATCAAAATGGTTGCTTTAGAAACAGTATCTGAAATACATTCAAAATCACTTATCCAACTAGATGAAGCTCAGCCCCATTCCGCCCTTGGCACCGAGCTTCTCCAGCCCGATGTAATAATATAAAAGTCCCCTCCTATTTACACAATTATTGCTTTTCCCCCGCGCGGGCATGTGTAATATTAAATGGATCTCCTATAGTTTTAATCAAGAAATATTATCATTTCTCCTTTCAACAAAAATCACATTTCTATATACTGGATTTCTTCCTCCCCATTTTACAATATAAAAAAAAAATTGATTGATTCATAATAAGAAAATTGTTTATTTAAAAACTTCTAATTGGCACGTGCCTTCCCCTTTCCTTTACGCTTTTTCTCCACAATGGGTTTTAATTCATCATTTTTCTTTGCTTGTACTAATGCACTTTCCACTAGAGATGCCAAAATTGCCGCATCATCATCGTCTTTATTTTCCACCTCTTCGTTGACGTCATCCTCTTCGACCTTTTCAAACTTCTCTCTGACTTTGGAGTAATGTGCAAGTTCTGTTGCGGACACACTAGGAATAAGTTCTTCTAAAGCCTTGATAAAGTCTACTTCTTCCGCTTGTACCACGATTTCATCTGGTGTGACCATGTGTGATAAATAGTATTGAGCTGTCAAAGGATCAGGCAAGTCCGATCTTTTTTCTGCATTAAGAATAGCAACCTTGGTCTCGATTGAGTCTGCAACACGAGTCATTGCCTTAAGCATAGCATCCGAACAAAGTGCATAAAAATCAGCCCCCGTGTAATGGAAAGGGCAACGATCAGCTACACGGCGAAGATCCAAATCAGGATGAAGGCGGAACCTAGTCATCACACAAAATATAAGGTTGAATATCTTTTCTCCTTTGTTATTTAAATTATCATAAAAGGTCTTACTTTCTGGTCAGAGCTTCAATAATTTTCAATTGGGACTCATGATCTTGACTGACACCAAGATAAAGTAACTTGTCAAATCGTCCTGGACGTAAAAGCGCGGGATCCAACAGATCAGGTCGATTGGTTGCTCCAATCACAAACACATCACCTGCACCTGCTTCCTCTCCGCCCTCTCCCATACCATCCAATTCAGCCAACAATTGACTGACAATACGATCCATCACACCGCCTGAATCTCCCTTTTCTCCACGTTTGGGAGCAACCGAATCCAATTCATCAAAGAAAATAACACACGGCTTGGCATCGCGTGCACGCTGAAACACTCGACGAACATTAGCTTCTGATTCACCAATATACATGTTGAGTAACTCAGGTCCCTTCACAGAAAAGAAATTAAGCGAACAAGACGTTGCAATCGCCTTGGCTAACAATGTTTTACCAGTACCGGGTGGGCCGTACAGTAAAATACCACTACGTTTTTTAAGTCCTGCTCCAAATAATTCGGGATGTTCCAGAGGTAACTGAATCGTATCCAGAATATCATCCTTGACTCCAGCTAAACCACCCACATCATCCCATGTAACATTTGGAATCTGTATCCATTAAAAGTCAGTTTATCGTCCCTTCTCTCTTTTTTCTTTTTTTACCTTGGGTGCTCCAATAGAATCAGAATAACTGGATCTGGCTTCACCTAACGCAGTCTCAAAATCTGCTGCAGTCAAAGTAATTCCTGCAGCTTGAATATCGTGGGTTGTAACTGAGCTATTCTCATGTGTGCTGGAAGATGAGCCTTCACTTTCTTGTTCTTCTGGCACTTCCACTTTACGATGACTATATGAATGTATTCAGCACATTGTGATAAATATATAAGAGGACAAGACACTTACATGGAACGATCGATGCGTTGAAGGGAGAGAACACCTGCTCTACCAACCAAATCCACCAAATCTTTAGCCACCAAAGCAGCTGTTTGTGTTGCAAGATTAGAAAGAGAAATATCAGGAGCCAAAGGACTGTGACCTAACAAATTTTCGAGGATCTTTAAACGTGTGCCTTCATCAGGTGCATTGATAGCAACATCGTGTCTGAAACAAGAGAGTACGCTTGAAGGTAAAGTATCGATATCACCCGTGGTTGCAATCACCATAACGGGGTATCCAGTAGAGCTATGAGCTGCGTTCACATTCTTGATACATTCTTGTAGGACGGTTGCTAACAAGGGTTCTTGACCCGATTCAACCACTGCGCTCTTTTTGGCCAATCCTTCCATATGTCGGATCAATACTACACAAGGTGCAAGCGCAGTTGCCTTATCAAACTTGGCTCGTAAATGCACTTCTGTCTTAGCATCCGTATCAGATACAACATCATAAATAGAGAATTCATAAAGATGTAAGCCAAGATCCTCCACCACTTCTTTTACCAAGGTCGCTTTACCGCCACCGCGAGGACCATGGAATAAAGCATTGCAAGATACTTCAAAATCACGGCCCAGAGGATGAAGAGAAGAAGACACCAACTCATGCAACTGTTTGTAAGCGGCTGAAGAAGATCGAATCAAGGGTAACTTTTCTGTGAAATTATAATAATGGGAAATAGGACCCACAGGTACACGAGAGTATTCGATACCGGTCTGCACCATTTGCGTTTTACTGGGCACAATACGACGACCTGATCCAAAATAGGATGGATGTACCTTGGAATCTTCTACTTGGTCTGCAAGTCGAGTCACTTTGAAATAGGCCAGAGTCGTGGGTTTGGTATAAATAGGTATCGCGTCTAAATCATCGTCTTGTGGACGTAAACGAGCACTTTCTTCGTCGAGACAGATGGCAATCACATCTCCTTTACACACAATACGTTCCTTGGCTTCAAACCAACCTTTTAAGGAATCCAAAAATGCGGATTGCAATGCCTTGTCCATAGATGCAGGTGAGGCAATACGTGCAATACTTACAGCGGTGGCAACAGGTGGACCCTCTGTAGGTGGTTGGTTGACTTTGGTGATGGTAATCTTGGCCTCGTCCATGGATGCTGGTGGAAGAGGTAAACCAAGATTGAAATATAATACAGGTGGGAGGTAAACAACGTTACTAGATATATGGTAAATATGAGGATAGATAAGCGCTATTTTTTTTTTTTATATATAGGCACACTTACTTTTGACTTGAGTCAATACCATAGACACGGCATAATCTTGATCTTTTAGGGTCATTTGCACTGACTAATACCCAATCGCCACTAAAAACCCCGCAATCCGCTAAATCTTTAATATCCACAAAAACTCTGCATTCATCATCGTCCGAGGTATTGGGAGCAGGATAAAGACGAGCTTCAGGCCATTGCTTTTGTAAGATGACAACGTTGAATTCCTTGGGTTCGATGACTTGAGGGGTGATGGGTGAGCTCAACATATTGAATAAATTGGGGACAGATGCTCCATCAGAAATAGCTTTATGTGAATCATCTTGAGACTCTGGATCTGATAAATCCACTGTTAATACTCGAGTGCGCTCCCCTGAAACAACATAGCCTTGTTGCACTGGACTTGTCATTAAAATCTCAAACGCAAGTCCATTTCCAAAGTCACAATGTTCTGAAGTACGGATGATTCTCTTTGGTTCTTGAATAAATAAGTTTGTCAACGCATCTTGATCTATTTTTTCCATGTTTTAGTACACATATTTTTTTTTTCGCATTTATGTTTATTACCTTGTTGTGCAAATTCAAAAGTCTTTTGATTTAAAGCACCAATAATTAATTCATCCAATTCAATCAATTCTACAGGCTGAATATGTACACTACAGGATGAAGTATCCTCTTCATCCTCGTCCAATCTGGCTAAAGCATCCTGACCATACACACTTTGAACCAATTTCGTACTTGCATACAATAAGTTTTTACCGTCCTATAACAGAACCGAAAATATCAATACCCAAGAATTTCCCCCCGCGTAAGAAAGAGAGCTTTCAAAACTTACCCCTTGTTGAGTAGACTTACAATGTACAATAAAAGAGCTTAAAGCAGATTTCGTCTCTGTGTTGGAAATAGGCGATTGAACTGCTAAACTGGGGATCGAGACAGACACAGTAATGTAGTCTAGTAAAAATAAAAACTTGGTCAGCACAGTGTCTCCCCCCCCCCCCTTTTTTTTTTCTCATTTAGACACTTACCTTTTGTGTGGTTCGAGGGTACAAGTGATTGCCACAAGTCATTCGAGACTTTAATGACTTGATCTTCTTGACCGGAAAATAAGCTTAAATCTGCAATTTTAAATGGAGGCATGAAGAAAAAAATGGTAGTTTAAGAAAAAGAAAAGAGATGAAGGGCAACAAAAAAAATAACGTAAAGTGTATTTGTAAAATAAATATGACAAAAAGAGTTTGAGCATCCCACGCTTATACTTTGTGTAACAATTCCGTTTATGGGCCAAAAAAAAAAGCGGGGTGAATTGACGGCTTGGGGGGATAGCCCAAGGTTAAATGATTTGAATGAGTGATGCATTTAGTAAAGGGAACCTTTTTCATAAGAGAATAATTGATAAGATGTCTTGATCTTCTTCTCTAAAAGTGGTTTTTCTCAGGAATTACTTTCATGGCGGCTTCTGCGGAAGTTTGTCTTTGGCCCCTTCTTCTTTCCTAAATCATACGTTTGTTGAAACAAGAAGGCACTCGGTTTCATTCTTTAAACTTGGGTAAAATAGTTTACTTACAGTCATGTTCTTATTTGCGTTTAAAGCAATGGCTGGTGATGTACCTCTGTTTAAATCCACTTGGGTATTAGTTACAAGATTAGAAATCAAGTACATCACTACCATACACAGCTGTAAACAGTACTCTGCTGTAAACTACTGTGACAAGTATTGGTTTTCTCTCTGCGTAATATACATGGACCAGCCATTTTATTACATCTTTACATGTCTTTTGAAAGCCTCAGTTAAACAAAAAGCATGACTTCATATTTTTTCTGCACATAAAACACTGTTAATATTAACTTATACAGATGTCTAGTTTCTTTTAAATGTGTTTTTCGTACTAGAGCGAGTTTTGTTTTTGAATTTTCTGGTTGTCTAATGCAGTTAAATATCAGCCAAACTTTTGAATATATCTCAAATTTTAATGTCGAATGTAATGGTTCCACGTTTTGTTACTTCAAGAATAACTGGTTTAAATCAGTCCTATAAAAATCTGCTTTTAGTGTTCAAGTAATCATGAATACAACCATTCATTTCCTAGTAAAGTTGAGAGTAGATCGATTACGGAAGTTGGTTTGATCGATATTTGCAGATGTCCCTACAATTTGGAGTGACAGTTTAAACTGGTTTAAACTAATTTTTATCACTGGATAAGAAAGCATGTGTTATAATAAGGAATTGCAGCAGGAAAACTCTGGTTTTAAAATGATGTCATGGAGTAAGAAACTGTTGTCTCTTTTCTGTTGGGCTTCCCTGAGATAGTAATATAAGCCAAGCACTTTTATTGTTATTCAAAAATGAAGTTCTTAAAAGCACATTCACTATTTCCAAATTTCGATTTAGAATTTCACTGATTTGTTGGCCAAAGATTAGATTGCCCATTTATTGCATAATAATACCTCAAGGTCAAGGAGGTTGTGTGAAAAGAAAAGCCTGTTTTATTTTATAGTAGAAAAAGGGATCACGTTTTTTTTAATAGGAGTAGAAGCGGTGTCGATCTTGTCAAAACACGATCTGAGTCAGTCGGCATCATCAATCTCGAGCTATTTTTCACATTGTTGTTGAGTTTTACCAAGTAATTGGATAATATGACCTTATCGGTTCATTCTTTGATAAAGCTTAGTGTACCACTAAAATTTGGAGAACCTCACCCACTTTATTTTAAATATGTTTAATAATAGCAAAAAAAACCAATTCACAGTCTTTCATTTGTTTGTTATGTTACGGATTACATCCTTATTTTTGGGAACCGTTCTTGCTTACGAAAGAATTAAAGTCGGATACTAAATTTGGAATCCCCCCCCCCTCACATGTGAGCGCTTTTAACCCACGTTTTTTAGAGCCTTACGCAAAATAAACATTGATGTTCTTGTACCACAAACAGACGGGATACCTGATCCAAAGTTTATGCACGGTCGCTCATACGTTTATCCGAAGCCAATTGACGCTTTTTTGGGGGGGAGGCACTGTATACGGCAGCCATTTCTTTTTTAATATAAAAAAATAACAACAAAAACTCAAAACTACTTGCCCAAAACAGTTAGATGTGGACTATTTATACCTTGGCGTTTCTCTTCCAGAAATATCCATATATTGCTCTAGAACTGTCGGAATAGTAGCTCATATTTCTTAGATCCATAGAGTTAATAAATATGTGTTATGTATTATTAAAAGATAATTGCAGCAAAGTTACTTTTGACCATTGTGTGTGGTTTTCAGAAACTATGCCATTTAAACGGGTGACTATTTCTTGCGAGACTAACAGGCTGAAAAGGCTTTTCCATGGCTACAGACAAACATAACAACGATCTATCAAATTATTTTACCTTCTGACAGTCCTTGATATTATTCATGTTCCCTTGATTTTTCTTCTACTGTTTTTGCCTTCTGTTTTTGGATGTTTCCTTATTTATTTTTGAATCACACACCATCATCACGCGGCTGTTTTAGCATGAATGATTGTTATCACATCACCACACAAAGCCATTTTTTTTTCTGAATAGATGGTAACCAATTCGTTTAATAAAAAGAAGGGAGGTACCAAAAAAAAAAAAAACTTCAAATATGCCAAGATGATCAACAATACTTTTCTTTCTATGGCGTATATTTGAATACATCACTTACCAAAATGATCAACTGCGAGAAAAGACAATCATTGTACCATCTCTAATATGCTTCAGTCTGCGTAGCTTGTTGTTACACCACATGCAGCTATGATGATGAGATGATTTCAGGAGTCCATAACTTTAATGATCAACTAATGTTGCTTCCCTTATAAAAAAAGCATGGTAACTTTTTGTTAATAGAGAATGGTGCTTAAGCATCACATCCCCCTTTTCATTTAAATTACAAAGTGATTTCAATCAAAAACTTTTTTTTTTCTGGTTATCGGACGCGATCCAAGTTGTTCTAGACTTCACAGGACAATCATGTTTCATATTTAGCATGAAAAAAAAATAGGCCCGGTAAATGGCACCTCAATTCGCGAAACGTGCAAATGGCCTAATGAGGTTTGCTTCGACCATCCTTTTTTTTTTTTGGCTCACCGACCATTTAGTCAACCGCTCGCCGTTTGTACACAAAAATAAAAATTCTGTAAGATATCTTGTTTTGGGTATATTACTATTTGGTGATATCATGTCTTTTGCAATTTATAGTGTCGTGTAACAGTAGAATCAAAATATGTATATATATTTATTACGATTAATAGTATGATGGGGAAAAGTATGTAAAGATGAATTAGGCTATATATAAGAACGGCGGGAAGAGTGAAAGAGATGATATGAAAATTAAACAATAGATGAAAAGAAAGATTCTAACAAATCATGACAGATCTACTATCTTGATTAGATTGAATGGGAGGTGAAGTGGCCCACCAGTTTTCAGCAGGTTGAACATATTTGTTTTCATGAATTGAACGTTCCAGACGCAATGCATAATATTTAGTATCTTCGGTGCAAAATAAGACAGATTCTTTATCTGTGAAAACAACTGGATTTAATAAACGATGTCTGTAAAAATAAACAAACAAAAAAAAATCTTACCATCAAAGTCTTGCTTTTCTGATAAACAACAATGAACCGTATTTGATCGTCGCGCAGCGTTAGATTTTTTTTGGTCTGTATTGGTAATGGGTAATTTTGTTTGAAGGAATGATCTCTTGATACGTTGTAACAAAGGTGTAAGAGAGGCCATACTGGGGGTTCTCTTTCTCTTGTTGTTATTGCTGACAGTAAAAGATGAAGTAGATAATGTCAATTTGTTCATAAGTAACATGATTATATAAGATGTGTGATGTAATATATAAGTAAAAAAGAAAAAAAAAGAAAATGTTTGTAAGGAAGAAAAAGGGAATAAAGAAATATTCTGTCTTTATAGTTTTTTCTGGAGGTTGGGTCTAGAAGGAAATTTATTTTTTAAAGGAGTACACAGGTGGGACTTTAAAAAGGCACGCGAAAACCAGAAACGTATTCAAACACCACATTACGGACTAAACCACCATCTGTCCCATCTATTCTTATTGCCAATTAACAAATTATATTTAGCTATTCCCCACCCTCAGACCTGAATATATTTATTTATATAATTCGTCAAATATTAAACTTTTTTTATGATCAAAAGCACTTTCTTACAAATATGATTTAACCCGCACTCTCCTTTTTTAGATCGGCAATTGTTTAAATTCAACAAGGTGGTACAAAATATAATTATAGAAATATGAAATCATTGCACCCCGTTGTTTTTCGCGCTTGAAAATATCCGGGAGCTAACACTTTTTTAAAAGTCCTTTTGTTTGTCACAAATCTCTTGTCAAAATATTCCTTTCCGCTCTCCATTGTTGTTGCTGTGCGGATATACCTAAAATGAAAACTTCGGCTTTGATGGGGGGAGGGGAACTATAGCAACCGTTTTCAAAGCTCATAATAGAACAGAACCTTAAATGCCAGCTAAAATTGTAGGCTAAATACCACCAAGCATTATATTACATCATTATAACCATTCATTTTATTGTGTCGTCTAGACCTTGTTTTCAACCGTCTGTTTTCAATCGTCTGTTTTCTTTTATCAAGCACTTTTTTAATATTTCAAGAAAATTATGACGCCATCTTCACTGCTTTGAACAAAAGAGTCTCTTCGCACCGAAGTAAGCGACCTATGCACGACAATTTTCTTATTGCGCTGTCAAAACATAGCAGCTAATACGGGTCATAGCGCTTGTATGAAGTTTTACTCACAGCTCTTTCATGATAAAAAAATAAAGCAAAGACTATTGAATAATTATTACGTTATCCGAGATAATCTAACAATTCCGGAATATGTACCAAGTGGTACCACAGTTGGAGTGGCACTACTGTTACTAGCATCTAAAAAAAAAGGCTACATATAGTAAAAGGAAACGGTAAGAAAATCGATGAGAGCCACTAAATTGATTTTCGGAAGCTAGTTAGCGATGACGATGAAGAGAGTAGATCAGGGAATCTACAGGAACTACACGTTTTTGCACGTTCGAGATAAATAACTTGATATAATACGCGTGGAAACTCCGATGCCATTAAAATCAATCGGCATTGCACAAACACATTCAAATAAGAGCAAAAACCATGAGCTATCTTTAAGGACATTATTGACAGCTTAAAAATGGCATACATTGTCACACTCTTATTCCGTTGAGATGGAATTATAATGGAAGTATGATATAAGAAGTTTCTACCAGACACCTTCATTAAACTTCACTCTGTTCTTCTGCTTAGTTTTACTTGTGATTTGTAGCTTTCTTTATTTGGTATCTTACAGCAACACACTCACCCAAGCCATACAGCTTCACATAACACAATCCAATATTAATTTAACACGAGTGATAATACCCATAACAAGATTATAGTGATCAATCAGTCATAGACACTTTCTTAGCCGACCTTTCTTGCTGCATAAATAACACGTCAGCCAAAGACGCAGGCAAGAAGGACTAAAAAGAGAGACTGGGTAATGTACGGTCTTGTGAATACGCAAAAGACCCACATTTAAGTGTGTATATATAAGAATATGGAGGTGAAAAAGTTCTTTTGGTGATGTATAACTGGAGACTCAACAAATCTTGATTTTACGGTAGCATGCGAGACAAAATAAAACATGAATTATGATATTCAAAGGACCTACTGACTTAAGCTTCTTGTACTGTATATTCAACCTTTAATTGTGACACTTGATCAAAAATTTAAACAGTCCTGAATACAATTTATACGCACTTTTGTCCAAGCATCAAGTTCTGATTTTTCAAACTACCAATTTCAAATGAACATGACTAAATGACTCCTATAAACAAAGGGAAGTCTATTTATATTTTCTATAATTATATTTTGTACCACCCTGTTAAATTTAAACAATTGCCGATCATATAGGAGTGTGGCCATTATGTAATACTTTTTTTTTAAAGGGCAATTATTTATTCTCTATAGCAGTAATTTATTTTTTTCGCACTGGGCTTAGTTTAAAGGGACACATAAAAATAGCAATTATGCTAATTGGTACATGATGCGTTAATAAGAAGAAGATCTTCCGCAAGATCTTCAATATCTTGATGTAAAAGCTCCTCAAATGATTGGACAGATTCCTTGCAATCTTCCTTTTTTGGTGCTACTACCGTAGTATCATCATTAGGCGGGAGATCTCTGTCATCCTTTCTTTTTTCTGTGAGTAATGACACTCCCGACTATTTCATTTTAAATGACCTGCATTTTACCTTTGCATAGGCTATAAGCTCTATCCAGTTCAATAAGGCTTCGTCCTCCCCATCTGCCGAATTTCCATCGATTTGTGTTTTACTTGGCATCACAGACAGAAACTGTTCCAGATACTGTGTATAAAAATAAGAGGCGAGGATATCCTGTTGTAACTCTACAAGATTGTCTTTACTCGAATGATAGGTCAAGTCATTGACGGTATGAGGCATCTTATCTATAATAAAGAATTCATTCAAATGGGGTATATTGCAGTCAGGAAAAACAGAGCCTTTATCACAAACATCTGGCTTAATCATCGAGGGATTCACACCCGTTATAAAAGCAATGAAAAGATCATCCAACTTTAAAAGATCCATGTCTAAAGGGGCATAATCAGATAATTCATTCAATTTCAAGAATTTATCGCCTTGCATAATAGGGTTCCATTTGTTGTTGTTGGAGGCATCAAAGGATTGTACTGCAGCTACCGGCTGTTCATTGTGAATAGATAAAGGCAATTTCTCTAATTTAGTTTCTGGCTTTTCAATCTTCAACTCTTGAGGTTTGCCTAATACCGCTTCATGCAATTCCTGATATGAAATTGTAGTATAATCACTACAGGCTGGATTTGATGTATAGAATACTGACGGTCCCAACGGAGATACCATATTGGCATTATCCTCATCATCAAACAAATAATGACACACCTTTGCCGGATTGCCTACAAAAGAAGTAGGATATGCCATGTTGCAACACGAGAATAAAGATACAAGGAAAAAGACGAAAAAAAAAAAGGACAGTTTTTTTTTTTCCTTTTTGACGCGAATTTTGAGTTTCTAATATGTTTTTTTTATTGTTGCTATTCTTGATATTACAAAGAGTGTGGGATAAAGTTATATACGAGTGATTTGAAGGGTGGACAAAGGTGAGGAAAAGGAGAAAAATGATAGAAATTGTTTTAACGTCTAGGTCTAGGTTTAACAACAAATTGGTTTGGAGTCTTTCTTGTTTTACCACCCTTTGATAAGACACCCCAAACAGATCTAGGATCCTTGTTACCCTTCGATTTACCTCTACCACCACCGTGAGGATGGTCACAAGCATTCATAGCCATACCACGAACGGTAGGACGAATACCGAGCCATCTCGATCTACCAGCCTTACCAAGCATTTCATGCTGATGATCAGGATTACTGACAGCACCAATGGTAGCACAAGCATCAACAGGCACTAAACGCACTTCACCACTGGAAAGACGGACTTGTGCATAACCAGTTTCACCGGTTTGAATCAATTGTGCATAGGCGCCAGCAGATCTAGCCATAATGGCAGGACCGTTACGCTTTAAACCAATGTTGTGTAAAATAGTTCCGACAGGAATCATCTTGAGGGGCATACAGTTACCAGCATCCACAGCGACAGTACGAGTGATGGAAGCATCGCCTTCTTCTTGTTGAGATCTGTAAGAGGTGACCTTATCACCTGCTTTGATACCATGAGGTGCAACAATATAACTGAGCTTTTCAGTGGCGTCGTGCTTTAATAAAGCAATCCAAGCTGTACGTCCAGGGTCATGTTCGAGTCTCATAACGGTTTGGGTACCGGTTTCCTGACGTTGCCAATCTAAAACACGAATACGTCTCTTATGTCCTCCACCACGATGACGAATGGTAATACGACCACTGTTGTTACGACCACCAGAGCTACGTTTGGCAATAGTCAAGTTACGCACAGCTTTACCCTTGTAAAGATGATCACGAGGAACTCGCTTTAACCAACGCTTACCGGGTGTAGTGGGCTTTTTGGTCTTAAATTGACTTGAAGGTGTAGCAGAAGACTTGATGCTGCTCATTGCATTACCTTGTGTGTTGAAACCTGTCAAAAATGAAGGTCCAGCGGATTCGGCACTGGTGGTGTTGGCGTTGGTAGGCTTTGTAGCAAAAGTACGTAATTGACTGAAGCGTGAAATTAAAGACGTCATGGGTGTGCTGACATGAGGTTGTTGGAAACGACCCACAACAGTGGTGGGTGCCTTTTGGCTAACCTGTTGAAGTACTCGTCCTAAACGAAACATGGGTGGAATCTTTTAATTACAGGTTAAAATGAAAGCTTTCAACTTTTTTTTTTAAGGCGCCCCCTCACTTTAAATTTTTCGACAGGCCTACCCTCAGCCTCTCCAGTGAAAAACCTGTGAAAAATAACCGTCACCTTTTTTTCTTGTTTTATCTTCCGATTTGACATGTAAATCTAGCCAGGAACATGCCAAAGAAAGAAAAAAAAAAATGGCAGTCAGGTTAGTAAGGATCACCAACGAACCGTTTATTGTCTTGGCTGACGTTAAGCATACGGTCAGTTTAATGTATCCCGTGTCAAGCTCACCTTTTATAGTTCACACATTTTCTTTTTTTTTTAAAAAAAAAAAATCGGAATCTAAACACTATCCCAGGCACAAATAACCAAGTCAACCTGTACCCAAACTATGCGCTTTTGGATACCACAATAAACATATATTATTCCACTTCTCGATTGCAAACACTTCTTTGGTATACTGTACGCGAATTAATTAATCAATGAAAAACATTTTTTATTTATTACATGTGGTTTTTTTAAAACAAATCGAGAATATACGAGGATGTGACAAACAGAGATACCTAGATTAATGAGCGCATTGAGAGAGCGTTTTTGTTTGTAGATTAGAAAAGATGATGTTCATCAATAAACCTTTTCGTACAAGGTGAAAAAAAAACCCATTTAGACTTTTTGTGCGTTTTTGAAACCATTTATACGTCATCTATATTTTTATTTTAGGTCTAGTTTTATATGTTATGACGATTTTAATTCTACAAGATAGAAAGAGGACCTTTTTTATTAATCACCTCCATTCATCTATCAGTCTAGTATCGATTTGAAGAAACGTAAGCATTCAAAGGACGGTCTTCCGAACACAAAAGTAACTATAAAAGAAAAACGCCAAGATGCTTCATACACAGGATGCACAGATCGAGTTGAGCCACTTTTTTTCATGTCGAAATAATGTAACTAAAAAGCACTTTTTATGTTACACCCGTGATGCCACTAAATAAGCTTATGCCCGGAAAGCAAATGATGTAAACAATTGTAATACCCAAGTCACACAATGTCTACTGTACATATAAACCCTCTCCTCTGTTTCTATAGCCCCCCCTTACATGTACAAGATCCCCTTTCTCAAGCTTTACCCTAATTGTAGGAAAACAAAATCTTATAAATAAACAGTACTTCTTTTTCCTTTTTTTCATATTTCTCTTTTCTTCTTTTTTTAAAAACAATAGCTAAACTATAAATGCTTAAATTAGTCCAGATAGTCATCTTACTACTAATCATTGCGAGCTTGATCTTGCAGATTCTTGTTATATTTGGAAATTACAGTGGACTTCGAAAATTAAATATCATTCGTGTTGAACTCACAAGACCTGCCTCCTCCAGCACCGGTGGACTATTTGGTGGATTTCTCGATACAGTCGATAAGAGTGTTCCTGATTATTTAACAGTGGGATTATTTGTCTTGTGTGAAGGAAATAATGGTACAGAAGATGTATGTACACCACCCACCTTTGGATTTAGATACAGTAAAGTTAGAATTCAATTAAATTACCCCCCAACACACACACACACACACATCATTTAACCTTATATATTATAGGCAGTACAGGCATATTAAACACGATTCAGGAACAGATTCCTGAATATGTTCACTCAACATTATCTGGAATCCAAAAAGGTGTCTTTATTGTATCTGCAGCAATTTGTTTTCTACTTTTGTGTTACAGCTTTTACGACCTACTGACGGGCAGTAAACGAGGCTGTTGTCGTACCTTTTCGTTATTCACTATTGCTACACTAGCTTTACTATTTTGTATTGCCACATTTGTTGTACAGATTGTTGCATTTAATTTGGTCAAGAGTGGGATTACCAAGGCTAAAGATGACCTCTTTGGGGGTCTTGTAGACAACCTGGTGACGATTACTACTAAAAGAGGTGCTTCAGCTTGGCTATCCTTGGCGGGTTTTATTTCGCTATTTTTGGTCTGTATTTTATCTATCTTGAGTGTCTGTTGTTTAAAACCAAAAGCGGCAAGAAGAAATGACGAAAACTATGAGATGGGTCCTGTTGCTCATTAAAACTATAGAAAAATTTGTACAAATATATTTCTTGTGCTACTAAAAAAGGTCAACATTTTTTTTAAGGCGGGAAAAAAAAATTATCTTTTTAGTTGCTATGGATCTGGAACCTACACTGTTAAACTATATATTATACCATCCATACCGTAAAGACAATACATGTCCCTAATATAATAATAATTGTAATAATTTTTCAAAAAAAAAAAACCTTTGGTGCGCAAGAGTATTTTAGTTTTATATTGCATCTCGATTGTATTGTTGCTGCTATCATCGTTAGATACTTAATTTACTATTTCTAATGTTAGATAAAAAAAAAGAAAACTCGTTTATATTTTCACTTATTGGTGTGCTTCCTAATTGACACACGTACCACATTATATTATCCTCTATTATCTCGTTATACCCTGTGGCCACCGAACGAAAGTGCTTCTTTTTCTAATTACAGAGGGCACTTCTTTTTCCTGTACAAATTTGGTGACTGCAAATGTATACCAAGCATGTAGAAATGAACAAAAATCAAACAAATCACGACAATTACTGAATTTAGTTGACAGCTTCATCTATTTGTCGGGGGTGAGCCCTATATTCCATACAATCAAATGCTCTGGTCATTCAAACCTGATGACAAATTAACACCTCAATTCACAACATTTTTAGAAATTATCAAGCATACAGTTTGCTCATTTTACTTGGTTTGTCAAAGTGTTCCTGAGTTTGTACGAAATCATGAAAGAGCTCACTTTGTTGAGAATGTTCTCCAAGTTTATTAGGTTTGGCAGAAATTATAGGTTCTGTTGGGTTTAAATGGTAATAGACAAGGAGAGATAGGGAAGAAGGTAACTTTTCTATTGATGATTTTTTCCCTGTAGGTGTGAAACCCCTTATTATCCTTGAGCCAATTGAATCTATAAGACTAAGATTCTGATCTTCGTTCTGCTCCACCCAACAAGCTTATCAATGTACTTGCTGCCTTAAAAACCCAAAATAATATAGAATTGATAATAGTGGAAGCATAAAGTTAATATTATCACATTTGATCTACAGCTATCTTTATTCTTACTTATGGATATTATAATCAAACCTATAAAATCAGTACTTATATACTGTGTATTTAGCTTAATACATTGCGGAGACAGTCTATCAATCAATGAAAAGAAAATACAGCACATAGCGTTGAAGATTCACTAAAAGTTCTGGAATACAGTGTATCTGCTTTAAAAAAGGAAACCACCCATTATAAGAATGCCTCATTGATAATATTCAAAAAGCTTAAAGTTTATTCATTACAGATAATTAAAAATCGAGTCAATCTGAGTAAGATGTCTCTATACGACAAATATCACTGGAAATTTATTGAAAAAGGGTCTGCCAAAGGGCCAACAAAGTATAATATACTTTGGCCCATAATAATAAGAGGCAGTAGCATGCTTTGATGTTATCTCACATCAACTTATATAGGCTCAATAAAAGGATCAACTTCCAATATTTGAGTAAAAGGGTCTCGATTATTTTTTATCACACTATTGGTCGATCTTTTTTTAAAAAAGTGATCGGACTTTTCAAACATTTGGCAAAAAGCACTGTGCCATAAGATGTCTCCTTTGGTAAAGGGACTTGTCTAATGTCACACAAGCCAGATTTACTAAATGTTTCGGTTTACTTGTCGTGTATTACTTTTCTTTGTGTTATATTTTTCAATAAATTAATAATAATAAACTCTTTTTCTCTCTCCCTTCCCTTTTATTCTTCCTTTTTCTTTACATTCACTTTTTGCTGTATTTAACAACTTTCCATTTGACGTTTGCTTTCATAATAAACATTAATTGACGTTTTTTTTTTTTCAGAAACCCTTTTTTTGTAAGACAAACAAACAACTTTTTTTTTTATATTCACAAAAAAAAAAAAAAAAAAAAAATTGAATGCACAAACGTAATTTAGTTCATGGTCATCATACGGTTGCTATAGTTTTTCTCGTTATAACTGCAATACATGGAACAAAAGCGCAAAGTAATATCTAGTGCAACAATCAACAAATTAAAATAAAATTAACCAGAGCCCCTCACCCCCAAAAAAAAAAAAATTATTAGGTAAACTCTCGGAGTGTAGCCCAATAAACTGTGTAGCAGAATGCGAACCCACATGCAAGGATGAAGACGTTTGCATGTTGCGCACAATGACACAATGTGGTATATGTCCACCGTCTGTTTGTTTAAATCGTGCTGCTATGGGTATACCACCGCTGGTAAAGGAGTCTAAGCCTGCTTCCAATAACTCGGGGATGATTGGTGGTATTGTAGGTGGCCTAGTAGGTCTCGGTCTAGTAGTTGCTCTAGCTGTATATTTATATATTCGACGCGGGAAGAAAAAGGGCCAATTACCTTTTGCTTTTACGAATAGGTCGGGTATGAGTCAAGATCAGCAAGTACATTATCAACAAGCTTCTCCTCCAACTACACCGCATCCTGGTGTGGTTGCAGCACTAAGTCATCAACATCACAATAGTCTGGACATGTCACCCAGATCACCACTACCACCACCACATGCGTTAAATACAATTAATACACCCTTATTTAATAATACTAATACAAATGGAGATGATATATCACCCATTGCACCAATTATTACTACTACTACTGTACCGCAAGAGTTCGAAGAACGCATTGCACTTCAAAACAAGCGAATTTCACACATTTTAAATAATAATCCACGGTTATCTCAACATCAAGCGACATTTGCACAGATCCAGACAAATTTCGATAGTGGACCCAGCCAACGCAACAGTACAATGACTTATACGACGGATGATGATAGTGAATATGATTACGAGGAAAAGATCACTGTCGCGAGTCGACAACAGGCACCGGCGGCAGCAGTTCAAGTGAATCGAGCCAAACCTCAAATCATGCGCGTCAATTCTGTCCGAAAAAGTGGAATTGGATTAAACCGTAGTGACTCTGTTCGAACCATTATCACGCCTATGGCTGAAGATGATCTTGCAAATCAATTTCCTCAAATACCCAGTCATAGGATTGAAGATCCATTCCAAGATAAAAAAATAGATGATAATGATAATAAATAAATAATTAAAAAAAAAAACAATTGTTTTGTTATGTATAAAAAAAAGACGTATATTGACAATATGGGATTTTAAAGTGTGTAATGAAGTGTGGGTTTGTTGTGCGAAGTGGTGGTAGGCGTTGTAAGTGAGTGAGTGAGATGTGGTTATTTATTTCTTACTGGCCTTGGCCTTGGTGACCTTTCCAGCCTTGACACCCTTAGTCACCTTTTCTATCTTTTCTGTCTTTGTGACTCTGGCAACCTTGGCAGCCTTTGCATTTGATTTTTCGGTCTTTGCATTTGCTTTTGTCTCCTTGGCTTGCTTTGCAACCTTGGCAGCAGCAGTGGAAGCAGCAATATTGGCAGCAATCTCGGCCTTCTTTGCAGCCTTCTTTGCCTTGGCTCTTTCAGCTTGGTTGACTAATCGAATTCTGTTCTTTTCATTCTCGTCCTATGATAAACCACAAAGAGTCAGTTTTCACTCTGTCTTCCCTTTACACTTGTCCTCTTTATCTTACCTCGTTCTTGAGTGATTCGAGTTCGTTCAAAAGGTCTTCCTTGAAAGGCCAGGCGTTGGGAATTCCGGGATCTTTCTTGGTTTCTAAAGAGAGATACAGCAAGTAAGACACACTATTCTCCACTTTTTGGTAACTATCAAAACTTACTGTTGTGTTGTCCAGGATTCTTTCTGGCAGATCTACGTTCCTTACGATGATGATCGACAATACGCTTCAAGATTCTATGCTTATGTGCGGTACGGACACGCTTACTTTGAATCTCTGTGAATTGAAATAGTTTAATATTTTACAACTTGACTATCAGGATAAAACAACTCACTCTTGGGAACCATGGTTTAAAAAGATGTATATTAAGAGATTCGAAAGGAGATCTCGCTATTTTTTTTATTTTATTTTTAAAAATTGCATTTGCCGGTGCGGGGTGTATTGAGTGGTTTTTTTTTTTTTTCTAATTTGGAAAAGAAGGTCACAAAAAGATATAGGTAGCCGGCCAAAAAGCCACCCATTATTTGGGAAAAGGCTTTACATTTTCAAATCATCAGGTAAATCTAAGATATGACCCATTTTCTTTACTTTGACAGCTAAATATTTATCCATTTCATGACGAGGAGTGGAAGCACCAGAAGAAGGAGCAGGTGATGTGGCATTTTCAAGTCGAGATAATTCATGACGAAGTAAAGAAGGCGATGGCATGGCGCTGTTTGTATTACTACCTCCGCTTAAAGCTAATTCCGCCATGGCTGGCGAGGACCATGAGCGTGGCACCATCGATTGTCGTTTCACAACCTTGATGGCTCCAAATGACTCAAGCTGCTGAATTTTGTCTGGGTTGTTGGTTAATAAGTGCACATTCGAAAGCTGTAAATCCTTCAAAATAGCATTGGCAATACCATATGTACGTCCATCAGCTGGATGACTTAACAATACATTGGCTGCAACTGTGTCATGTCCCAAATCTTGTAAATTGTATGCCCTTTTTTGTCATCAAATACTTGTCAGTCTCTCGCTCTCTCTTTTTTTGTGTTCACTTGTCACCGAAAAAAAAAAACTTACTTTAACTTTTCCATTAAGCCAATACCTCTACCTTCTTGTCTCAAATACACAATGACACCACGACCTGCTTCTTGCATTTGTGCCATGGCGCTGTCTAATTGTTCACCACAATCACAACGAGCTGAATGAACAGTTTCACCTGTAAAGCATTCGGAGTGAATACGTACCACAGGAGGATCCGATGATAATTTCCATTGACTTTTGGCTTTTGCCTGTTGTGCTTCTAAATATTGTTCTTGATCCTCTGTCAAGGCCAAAGTACGAGATTCATCATTCACGACCTCTTGTAATCTACCATAATAAGCACCCCGTACAATGCGGTTCATGATGGTCTCATTTTCCCATGTTTGATCCAAGGATTTGGATCGGATATCATCACCATAGACGATGGCCAAGTGCTCTTTTGTGTCTTGGTTGTTCTTGTAGAGGTAAAGGTACATTTCACCTCCTTCGGTGGTGGGAATACGGGCACGCACTTGACATTGGATTTTCACTTGGTTGTCAGGTACAAGCGTAGGTGTCACCGCGCTAGGTGAGTACACTTGATTCTTGAGAAATTCAATGTATTCATGGATTGTGGGTGGATGGTCCACTTTTTCTTTATCACATCGTGGTGAGTCTGACACAACATTCATACCGAATAATGTAAATAATGTAGAACTCATAATATATAATCCGTCTATGTGTTAGTAAAAAAGAAAATAATAAAAAAAAGAAGAAAACAAGATTCCCGGCCTTTTTGTTTATTAATCAGCTTTTTAACATCTGTATTTGTCAGTTTAAATCTCCGTGTTTGTACATTTACTTATTTTTTTGCTCTGTAAGCTGTCTTCCTATTAGTCATCCGAGAAACACATAAGCCATATAAATTGCTACATACATCTTTTATATTTATGTTTACATGTTAATTATACAAGTTGAGCAGTGCATAAAAAAAAACTCCTAAGCCAATGAAATGCATGCGGGATATCCTTACTCAGCCTGTCAAGCATAACATGGGTTAAGCTAGATAAACAATTTTTATAACACTTGGAAATGCATAGTTGTTTGTCTATTTACATTAAGGGATGTAAGATAGTTCTTTAAGACATGTGAGTACTATATATCTCGACATTTTACGAAAAAGCTTATTCACCACTCGTGCAGAAAAGAGAAAAGAAGAGGAAGTAATCTTAAAATCAACAGAAGACCTACGTCTATCGGGAAATGGTGGTTGTATTACGCCAAATACATAAAGAAATAAAGCAACTGTTATAGTGTATGTAAAGATAGCTAATTTCGTATTATTATTGTGAAGATGGAAGGTTAAATAAACAATCTAAATTTTGCTGTTTTGCAATCCCAAGTTAGATAGGTGCCTTTATTTTGACAAATGTGATCTAAGTGTACATAAAAAGTGTGTACCAGACTATATATTTGTCAATTAAAGACATGTTGAAATAAACTAACATATTCCAGTTTTGAGTTCTTTCACCAGTGATGGATAATATAAATGTGGTAATTGGCGGAAGGGGGCATTTCGCATGTTTTGCATCAGGACGGCGCGCCTTACTTGCAAAGGATTAAGGAAGAGCAAGTCTTATTCGGAAGTTGGGACAATATATTTCTTTCGCATCTTGGTTTTTCTTGCTCTAGCACGCTCTCTTTGTTTCTGGAGCTGTTCTTCCTGTCTTTTCTTTCTTCGTTTAATTTCCAGTTGCTTTATAAAAAATATAATCTTTTGGTGTCTATATGACTACGAGAAGGTGCATGGACATAGGCAATATTTATAGACGTAGGTATATCTACTTACAGCCCATTGCTAAATATAGTCATCCTTGAAACTTTTTTTGAAAAGAAGACTGTCAAATAAGCCTCGATAATGTGCATAATCTGGGGTTTGGCTGAAGGACAGCTTTCGAGCGCATACCAATAATTCTTTAAATTCTGGTGAAAGTCCTTCACATAATTTATCGATGGGGATGCTTAATTTTAGTTCAAGTATCTTATTTTATTTTTCTGCACGGGGGCATTTTGGGAGGCCTTGTCACAGCAAGCACTCTTTTCGTAAACAAATAGGTACATATGCTATGGATTTCAGGTCTTGTCGACGAAAAAAGACTGTAACAAAAAAAAGTCAAGTCGTTTTCAAATGCAATATTGAACATATAAAATTACCGATACCGTTATGACTGTTGATGCTGGCATACCAAAGTGTAAAGCCGGTTCTTTCTCTATATGATAGTTGTCGATCTTAAATTGTTTGCTGATCCCAAGATCCAGTATATAGAACTTATGAGTAACGTTAGAAAACCTTCCCAAATTATTAGGTTTGATATCACAATGATTGATACCCAAATGCTTAAAGATAAAAGGTTTAATTATAACATTGTCTTGTCCCAAATGTATAGACGGAATGATTTTTGTGCAGAAGTTCAATGTGTTGAAGCTACAAAGGAGAAGTATTAAAGACAGTGAAAATTTCAGATTATCCAAATGCTACTTACTAGTTGACGAGCAATGATTAGAGCAGATTTTAAATCAAGGTGCATCGAATAGATATTTTATGGTCTCCAGATCGTTACCGACCAAAGTAAAATTCAGGTATTTTTTGCCGTTTTCCTGGAAAAAAAAAAGCAACCAAATCCAAGACGCCACTTTGTTTACCCAAGAGCTGATATATTTTATATTCGTGATAGAATTCATCGTTTCGACCGTACTTCCTACAATCCTCTTTTAAGGCTACTTGTTTTCCTCTTTGGGTATCAATCGCTGTAAATAAAAATGGTCCGAATATATCAGTAGAACAGTCAAAGACATGTAAGTGTCGTCAATGTTACCTCTGTAAATGCACCTAAATGTTCCAGTATCAAGTGACTCTCTTCTTATAAACCGACCAGAATTGAAGCATGGTCAATGTATTGTAAAAAATAAAACAAAAGTAGGAAACAAGACTTTTTTTTAATTCTTACTGCTTATAAACAGGACGTGACTACATGCACACGTCTGACGAAAGCGGTAACTGGAAACCCACTAAAAATTCAACCAACCGCATGAATTCTACAGAATATATAAAAAAACATGGACGAGTTGAATTAGACGTTAACAGAATTCAGCTGCCCTCATTTCATTTAAATTGGTGGTATGACCATGTGGTGCAGCTGTTTCAGTTGGATATTGATAAGAGATAATCTGGAATACATGCAAATAGCTTATATCATCTTAATTCACTGCTAACTACTATAAAGTCAGAGTTGTTAAATTTAAATTTCTACACACTTAAAAATTGCAAGCGTCGGTTCCTTAGCTTGTTAAACAAAAAAGAAAAAAGAAAATGATAAAGTTGAAATCCAGGATGACTTGCTGATGAAGTACTGTAACTTCTTTCTTTCCCCACCTTCTTTGATAAGGAAAACCAAATGGGCTGTTTGTTACGCTTTTTATATTTCTGGGCTTTGCAACTATTCTAAATTGGTATACAGTAAATATATCACTACAACATTCGGTACCTAGAGCTTCACCATGCATTAGTTTAAGTCATCTTTACGAAACATTTCTTATGCGCTCATAATAATTTTATATCATCAGTGCTGTAGATAATTTAATAGCAAAAGTACTTAAGTTCAACCTTGAGCATATTTACAAGGACATGAACAACGAAAAATAATTTTGGATACGTTGCTCCATTTTCCAGAGTCCTCACTTTACACCATTAATCTTCAGTCTTCTATAAGATCGATGTTCCATTCTTTCCAAACTTATCCGCAATGTGTAAATGGCTTCCCACTCATCCGTAGTCTTATCAATCCAATCTTCTCGGTATAACAACGTGTAGCTGATTTCCACTTAAAAATGGGGTATTTTTTCTTGCCTTTGCCATCTTTTTATTTAATTGTTGTCTTGCACGTAATGCCATTTATTTTCAGTTTTATCTCCCCACGCCCTTTTTTACTATAGCTTTTGGGTTGCATCGTGTTCTCTGCCTTTTTTTTAACGCTTTATTCAACAATCATGTTTCTACTACTAACACGCCCTTGGTATCCCCTCAATACAGAGTTCTATTCCAAATTTTTATTGCTGGCCAGTCATCGCGCTGCATTACGAACCTATAGGCTTGCATAGTCTCATAGCTCTTGTTATTCTGTCCACTTTACACATTATTTTCCCAAGAAACAACTCTACTGTTAATTTAGTAGTGTATTATGCGTAGTTTTCAAAATGGGAATCAAAACCTCTCTTCCCTTCAATTTTTTTTGTCAGAGTTGGGTTTTAAAAAATCCTGTTTTCCCGGGTTGGTATCTTTAGATGAAGGTTGAAGCAGTACATTTCGAAAAGTGACTTATTCTATGTGATCTTATATTAATACCTTCATGATTTGATTTCACTGGCAATGCAAAACTATTGATAAAGCAGCTTTTTGCCTGAAATAAACTTTTTTAAAACGGAGCTTCGGCTCCCCGTGCAGAAATGTAAAAGTGCTTCTATAAACCATCTTTTATACGCACGAAAGTTGGCTGCTTTTATAAAATATTTAATATAAGAGCTCATGTTAAAGTATACCTATAAACACAGCGCATGCCTTCTCTCACTCTATGATTGTGGTGCTACAATTGTCCATTGTGAACTTTGACGGAGTCACACAAGGTTGGGATCTTCTAAACAATTTATTCAATCTCAAATGGAGCTTGACGCGGGTAAACAAATAAAATGAAAAAAAAAAGATTTTTTGGTTCTTCTTCATCATCATGTACTTCATTACTCCTTGTAAGTGAGGAAGAAAGTCGTGTTTATCTTTTATACTCATATCTTTTATTCACCTAGTGTTTTTCTGGATCGGTGTCTTGGCTGTGGTTCCTTACCTCGCCTTAGTTCTTTACGGTGCTTATGGTTGCCCTGAACAAAACTTGAAGACCAAGTATAACGCCCAATGGTAAGAAAAACTTTAATGTAAAACCCGAAGATACCCAATTTTTAAACGTTTGTTAAAAAAAAAGGGCTCTTGTCACTGGTGGCTCCTCTGGTATTGGTGCTGCCATTGTCCGTAAATTTGCTGGTCAGGGACTTAATGTTGTTGTAGTTGCGCTCGATGATGCTACATTAGCTCAATTTAAGCAAACCATTGTTGCAGAATTTCCTTCAGTTCAATTCCGTTTTGTCGGTTGTGATTTATCAGAAGCTACAGGCGAGACTTACTTGAGTGCTGTCAAGGAGGCCACGAAGGATATTGATGTTCAAATTTTGTGTAACAATGCTGGTTTTATTACCACGGGTGGATACGCTGATGTTACCCTCAAGCGTGAAATGGCCAATTACCATACCAACGTTACCTCTGGTTTGACCTTGACTCATCATTTTGCCAACGAAATGCTGGATAAGAAATTAACTGGTCTGATCACTTATACATCTTCTTCTGCTGGTTTCATTCCTAACCCCATGTCTGCTTTGTATTGTAAGTTTTTTTTTCTTTTTCTTTCTGGTAGTACAATTTTATTTATTTATTCTTTAGCTTCCAGTAAGATTTTCTTGACCACTTTTGCTGCTTCCCTCGCCGCTGAATTAGCTGAATCCAAGATTGATGTATTAGTTGTTGTAAGTTAATCCATCATCTATCAGCCTATTCTATTACATATTAATTTCTTTTTCTGTAGCATCCTTCTCCCATTGACTCGAACTTTTACAGTAATGTCGGAAAGATGAGTGCTCTCACCTCTGCTCAAAAGTTTTCTTCTCCTCCTTCCATCATTGCCGACACCATCTGTCGCAACGCGGGTAAGATTGTTGTGTCTGATCAGGGACCTATCACTGTAGTGATGAAAATAGCTACAACCAAGATCATGGATTGGAATGTTTTTACTGAGATTATGAAGCTCGGTCTTCGTTTCAATGGAGATTATAAAGCTATGAAGGTTGATCGTCCCTTGAAGAAGGCTAACTAAATTGTACATACATGCATGTCTAGTGCTAATATTAATTATAATGATAATAAAAAAAAAAAAAAAAAAAAAAAAAAAAAAGAAGAGGCTACTTTTATGCATCGATGATTTAATGTGGTACACGGATGAACGAAAGGTCATGTCTTATACACAGCGAATGCATCAATCACACATCTACATCAACGGGTGTAATAACACTTATAAGAACACACAGTAAGACGTTATTTGTTTCACACCAACTGCGCCGTATACTTTATATTACAACGAAGCTATTGTGCGTCCAGGGCCTTTTTTTTTAAAACGCCTGCTTCTGCTTTATAAGTAAACTTTTGTTAAACAGATAAATAAAAGTAGATTTCGTAAAGAGAGGTTTCAAATAGAGCAATAGTCTTTCCGCGTTAGGTACATATTTATTCTTACACTGACTCTACTAGCTATGTAGTCAGATGTAGAAGATCAGTGTAATTTATTTTAGAAATTGTAGATTTCGTCCTTATTGCAAAAAAAAAAAAAAAAAAAAAAAAAAAATTGGAGCGCAACGTACAATTCAGCATGAACTCAGCGAACCCTCTAAAAATACATAAAAAGCACCATACTTTCGATCCCAATATTTTATTGCTACTGTAGATGTCTTTATTTTTAAACTTCGTCAACTCCAAATATAATACCATTTAAAAAATTGATTTACTCCCTTATGGAAATTATCTGAAACTATGGTAATGATCCGCCGTAATCTCCTTTGATCTAAATTCAATCTTTCCAAGCAAGCTTATGGAATGAGGGTTTTTAGAATTTCATGCTATGTACTCATATGACAATAGACTTGACGCTTTCCGTCAACTATTTTCGAATTCTGTTTTTATCTATTCGTCATCCAACCAAATAAAGAAGCGCGTGTGCATATACAGTATATTTTTGAGAGCCAATTTCTAATCAATCTGTTCATGCCGTTTCAAAGTTTCAAAATGTCCACACGAAAGCTTTACGAATCAATACCGAATAATTCAAGTGAGGTATTTAGCAGGTGAAAAACTGTTTTAGTTTCGAACAGAATCCTCTTTTTATAACTATAAAGACGATACTTCTTATCGGGTAGATCAAAGTCCCAATGGTCAGTAAGGAAGAAAGAAAAGTCTGACCTTAATATATAAGTCGTTCTATCAAACATGTTTTAAGGCTTCTAATCCTCTATTTTTAAGTTCGCTATAATCAGGACGTCCTTGTTTCCTATTAAAGAGTAAGAAAATTGAATCCGGCTTTACCTTCAATTTTAAGTAATTGATGTACCTCATTACGTCTTCCACTGGCTATAGGAATGGTTACCAATGCGTTAACTTTAGACCTCCACATAAAAAGAAGAATCAGCCAGTTACAAAATAGCTGGATAGCACAAGGCTTTTTCTTTAAAGCATTCAACAAAAACCTGTCATGGTGTTTATCTATTAAAGATATGGAGATACCTTAGCTTGAATATAATGTACTATATTAAGTACAATTATTACAGGGAACCATTGCGTTGAACCACGCCATCATAACAATAATACGCTCAACAAATGATTAGTTATTAGTCAGGCTGTCAGTGCGCTTTAAAGTTTAACAGGAGTACACACAAGTTATGAAATTGCATCAATTTAAGGACCAGCACCAAAATAAACACAACTGTCGTACTTGGGTACGATTAACTTAAGAATAAATAAGCAAATCGTTAAATAATTAGATCATGAAATTATAACAACCTTTGATGTTGCATACCAGCATACACATATATACTGCTATATAACTTCTCCTACTACGAGTACATACTTCTATATTAAAGATTGTATGATTTGTGGTATTTAGCCATATTATACCGTAGTCGAATTAGGTTACACGATCACAATCCACAACAATTGACATTATTGTGACTACTAATAACCTCATATAAAAGCAGAAATTAACTATTCAACTAGACGGATCCTTCTTGTCTTTTTATTATTATAAAAAAACAATAAAGTTATCAAAAGTTTTATTTTATTTCTTGACCCATATTTATCACAAGATTGGCCTAAATACGATATACGAATGACAGTGGGATACAGAATGCTATAACGCTGAGTTACGATATCACCGATCGAGAAGAGAAACTTCTCGATCAATCAAGAATTATTAGAAAGAGAAACTTAATATTAATAGTTCTCTCAATGGATTAGCTACCGAGAGAGAGAATAGAACATCTATTAATATAAATGGTTCATTTACTTATGTATTGATATAATTATACTGCTGATAAAGAGTATAAAGAAATAGTGTATGAATTAATGGATACCTATCTTCTACAACCAAATATACAAATTTCGATAAGACATTTTATATTTGGGATCGTATTTTATTCATTACAAAGAGAATAAATAAATGATCAACTATTATGCTCTACTGCCAATTACACTTGACAAACAAGTATGCATCTTTTACAGTAACCGTTGCATGATCTGATAAATAAGTGTCTCGTAATACTAAAGATTTATTAGAATACTTATGCTCCCGATCCACTGATATGGGACAGCGTTAACTGGAAACAATTCTAGCGAGTAGTATCCATTTAACCCAAGGCGGGAAACAAAGTATAGATCTATTCCAAAACCAGAAAGGTTGACTCATCATTAAAACTCAGGAGAGTTGTGCAATATAAAAAGGATCAATAATTTCATAGCAGCAGAGTTCTTTTAGTATATTTTTTTACCTCTAATAAAATTATACTTTTATCTCATTACTTTTCCATTGTAATATTTTGTCAAATACCACAGAATGGGCCTGGACTATAGAAAATTAATAGTTTCCCTGAGCAAAATATTGCTCTTGTCATTTGATGTTATAACTGTTGGTCCCTCTGACTAATATTTATGTACTCAGTATTGAAAGGCTAAATTTAAAGACATGTTGATTATTTACTATCACCAGATTATTAGATCATGATCCAATAAGGCGCTTAATATTCTCCCTAAAACTATCCCAGTTCTTTATATAAATATCCATAGTTTTTTCTCATAGACCATCAATACGTTTTTGATTACATTTTTTAACACGTTTTTTAATTATATTTTTTTCGTCCATAATAAAGTGGTATTCAAGTTCTAACAGTATCGCTTTTGGTTTATTTTTAATTTTGTTCTCCATGCAAAACAACATTCGATAATCTGACAAGAATAGCGTGAGTCAATTTAATCGGCCATAAGTACAAGATTAAAATATTTGTAGATAAAAATTGTTTTGTTTGTAAAATGGCGTGACCTAATCTCGTAATGTTTTAAAAATTTTACAAGTTTATTTAAGCGAATCGTTCCCGGAGGAACAAATTCAATGACAAAGGCTTAATCTCAGTACATCGTAGCAACAAAGACTACTCTAGTACTTACAATACCCCGTCCATTTCGTGTCGTCTGCACGCGATTTAACGTCATGAAGTATTAGCATTATCATTTGCAAGTACAACCAAGCAGCCTTTCCGCTGCAAGGCGTATCTCACAATTAAAGGTTTTCAGGCAACAGGCCTTATGTGTACACTTCTGTTACAATTCAAAACACATAATAGCATTGTTTCCAGTATGGATTCTGGCTTAGAGGCGTTCAGCCATTATCCAGCAGATGTAGCTTCGCGGCGAAGGCCGTTCGACCAGACGCAAATACCAATTATCTGAATGAAGGGTTCCTCTCGTACTAGCTTCAATTACTGTTACAATACCAATACCATCAGTAGGATAAATATAACCTGTCTCACGACGGTCTAAACCCAGCTCACGTTCCCTGTTAGTAGGTGAACAATCCAACGCTTACAGATTCCTGCTTCTGTATGATAGGATAAGCCGACATCAAAAATCAAAAAGCAACGTCTCTAAAAACGTTTCGTTGCCACAAGCCAAATACCCTGTCGTAACCTTTTTTGGATTCTTTACCCTCAAATGTATGAGACTCCAAAGGATCCAAGGCCCTACTTTCATAGATAATAGGGGGACTTTTACCCAATGATTCTACACGAGATTTATGTTCTCGTTGAGTCCCCCGTAGCACACCTGCGTTAACAGATGCACTACCCAGTTAACTCCCCACTTGACTACTCAAGTGAAATTGGTATGGGTAGTGGTTTTTCATTGGCGCCAAAGCTCCCACTTATGCTACACCCCATACTTCCTTCCACACTGTCAAACTAGAGTCAGGCTCAACAGGGTTTTTCTTTCCACACTGATTCTGCCAAGCCCGTTCCTTGGCTGTGGTTTCGCTAGATAGTAGATAGGGACAGTGGGAATCTCGTTTAATCTAGAGCATTAAATACTCCCGCCATTGACCCGCACGCGTTAAACCTCTTCACTTTGAAGTTAAGAGCACTGGGCAGAAATCACATTGCGTCAACACCACTAACTGGCCATCGCAATGCTGTGCCTTTATTAGACAGTTGGATTCCCTTTGTCCGTAACAGTTCTAATGTGGTTGTTAGTGATAGACTGGGTTCGCTTGGTTGCCCGAAAGAAGCCAAGGTCCATATCTACCCAACCATTAGAGCCAATCCTAATCCCGAATTATGGATAATTTGCCAACTTCCCTTATCTACATTGTTCTATCAACTAGAGGCTTTTCGCCTTGGAGACCTGCTGCGGTTATGAGTACGACTAGTCGAGAAAATTATTTTTTCCCTTGGATTTTCAAGGATCATCGTGAATGCACCGGACACAGCAAACGCACTGTGCTTTACCAACCGATAAACCTTTTCTCTTGCTAAACAAATTCCAAGGTCTATCTTAGTTGTTAAAAAGAAAAGATAACTCTTCCCGGAACCCACGCTGATGTCTCCAAGGTCATTTGCGTTACCGCAGAAAATCCTCGTCCTAGTACCGGAATTTTAACCGGTTTCCCTTTCGATAGGCGGGCCCAATAATTGAACACGTATCTATCTCTTAGGATCGACTAACCCTGGACCAAACGATGTTGTCCAGGAACCTTTCCCCTCTTCAGTCTTCAAAGTTCTCATTTGAATATTTGCTACTACCACCAAGATCTGCACTAGAGGCTGTTTCACTCCGGTTTACACCAAGAGCTTCGTAACAGTTTAAATAAACCTCCACGCCTGCCTACTCGTTATTGCTTCGCTTTTACAATAACGGGAAAGTATCGGTAACACGCTTAAGCGCCATCCATTTTCAGGGCTACTTCACTCGGCAGGTGAGTTTTTACACACTCCTTAGCGGATTCCAACTTCAATGGCTACCGTCCTACTGTCTGCATAAAATAACACCTTTATGATATCTGATAAGCGTGTATTTAGGCACCTTAACTTT